CAAGTCCCTGGGCCCCTGCATTCATGTGGGAGACAAGGAGGGAGACCAGCTGCTCCTCTTCCAATCTACCCTGGGAAAGCAGTAGAAGATGGCCCAAGTCCCTAGGCCCCTGCACTCATGTGGGAGACCAGGAGGGAGACCAGCTGCTCCTCTTCCAATCTACCCTGCGAAAGCAGTAGAAGATGGACCAAGTCCCTGGGCCCCTGCACTCATGTGGGAGACCAGACCTGGCTCCTGGCTTCGGATCAGCACAGCTCCGACCATTGCAGCCATTGGGGAGTGAACCAACGGATGGAAGAACTTTCTGCTTATCCCTCTCATTGTCTGTAACTCTACCTCTCAAATAAATAAATAAATAAACTCTTTAAACTCTTAAAAAAAAAAAAAAGCTGCAGGGGACAGGCAGCCCACATCAGGCGCCTGTTTGAGTCCCAGCTGCCTCATAATGTGCACTCTGGGAGACGACAGTCTCAAGTGCCGGGGCTCTTGCCGCCCCACGGGAGACCTGGGTTGGGTTCCAGGTTCCTGGCCTAAGCCTCGCCCACACTGGCTGTTGTGGGTATTTGGGGAGTGAACCGGCAAATGGAAGATCTCTGTCTCTCTGCCTTTCAAATAACATGAAAATAAATACATTTAAAAAAAAATGCTGGTTCCTGGACAACACTTTCAATCTACTGAAGCAAACCTGCAAGTATTTTGTTTGCTTTTTATCTTTAAAATTTCCTCCAGAGATCCTGATTCACCTGAAAAGATGAGACTGGGGCCAGCATTGTGGCACGGTGGGTGAAGCTGCTGCTCACGACACTGGCATCTCGTACCTGAGTGCTAGTTCGAGTCCCAGCTGCTCTACTTCTGATCCAGCTCCCTGCTCATGTGCCTAGGGAGGCAGTGGATGACGGCCCAAGCACTTGGGTGCCTGCACCCACGTGGGAGACCCAGATAGAGTTCCCAGCTCTTGCCTTCAGACTGGTCCGGTTCTGGCTATTGGAGGCATTTGGGGAGTGAACTAGGAGATGGAAGATTTCCTCGCTGTCTCTCTCTCACCTTGTTTCTGGTAACAAATACCAACATTCACTACTCAAGGTCGATTACACTCAGAAGTACTGTTATCTCGGTGTCAGAACCTGTAACTGGGGCATGTGTTTGTTGCAGTTAACGTGTTGCTTGGGACGCCACAACCACATCTGATAGCGGAGCACCTGGGCTTGAACCCCACCTACGCTTCCCATTCAACCTCCTGACAACTGGGACGCTGGGAAGCTGCGAGCGACGGCTCAAGTACTTGGGGCCCTGCCATCGATGTGGAAACCCGATTTTTATACGAATTGAGGGCTACTGGCTTCAGTCCGGCCCAGTACCGGCTGTTGTGGACAACAGGGAGTAAACCAGCAGACAGAAGTTCTCCTTCTTTCTGTTTTTCAAATAAAGTGAAAAAATTTAAAATTTTTAAAATCTAAAACTGTATTTCTTCTTTTTTAAATATTTTTTTAAAATGTATTTATTCCAGAGGTAGAGTTACAGACAGTGAGAGGGAGAGACAGAGAGAGAGGTTTTCCTTCTGTTGGTTCACTCCCCAAATGGCCGCAACGGCCGGAGCTGCGCCGATCCAAAGCCAGGAGCCAGGTGCTTCTCCCAGTCTCCCCCGAGGGTGCAGGGGGCCGAGCTTTCCCAGGCCACAGCAGAGAGCTGGATTGGAAGAAGAGCAGCCGGGATTAGAACCGGTGTCCACATGGGATTAACCTACTGATCACGGCACCGGCCCCAGCTGTATTTCAGTAACACACGAATAAACTTACTAAGCTGAATGAAACACTTCTAAGCAGTCTTAAAAATTTTTTTGCACAAAATAGTGAATTGGTAGTTGGAAGATTTTTATTACTTGGCTCGAAAAAATTGCTCATTTTCAAACTATAAATCACTATGCACTGAGCTGAAATTATAGGAGTTCATTTGTTATCTTTTGTTGCATTAAGCATCATGTAAACATGCAGTGCTGAATGTAACACAAGTATAAATTGTGTCCACAGTGTATTTATGTGAAAACAGTTTATAAATATACCAATTACATACACTTACATATTGGTCTGATTAAAAAAAAAGTTTATTTTCATTTACTTGAAAGGCAGAGCAACAGAGAGAGATCTTTCATTTGCTGGTCCATTTTCCAAATACCCGCAATAGCCAGGACTGGGCCAGGGCCAAAGCCTGAAGCCTGGAACTCCATCCGGGTCTTCCCAGTACTCGAGCCATCATGTGCTGCCTCCCAGGCGCACCAGCAGGAGGCTGGATTAGAAGTGCAGAAGCCAGGACTCCAGTGCTGGGTGTGGGCTCCCAAACAGTGGCTTAACCCACTGAACTACTAAGATGAGGACTACTTCTTACACATGTAAGAAAACAACCCTGAATTTAAAAACTACAAGTCCCCAGAGGCTCTGGGGCAGCTTCCTAGAGCGGCCTGGGAAGCCTTCCAGAGGCCCGTCTGCCCTCAAGCCCCGGGAGGGCCTGCCGCCGCCCGCCCATCCTGAGCACCCCCATGCCCAGCCTGCCGCTCACTGCTATGGTCCTGGCCCCCCTGCTCCCTCCCCTCCTGCAGCAGTGCAGTCTGGGAGCAGCTGAGTTGCAGCAGGGCCCCCTGGCCCAGGGCGCTTCCCGGCTTCCACTTCCTCCCGCCACAGCAGTTTCTGCTCGTCAGTGTCTGGTGCTCCGAGTTCCCTCCAACCTCAGTGTTTGCACCTGCTCTGTCCTCGCTCCAGAGCACCTTTTCTCTTTCTTCAGTTAACTCTATTTTTCAAGTCTCTGTTCACGTAGCACCTCCTCCAGGAAGTCCTCCCAGACCTCATTGATGGGTCAGATACCACAATACAGGGAATCCCAGTTCCACTATCTCCTCCCGCATGGCCCTCATCTCCACTGACCGTTCGCATGTGGCCTTGCGATCATTTAGTTAACCTCACATAGTAGACAGATCTAAAACAGGGACCTTCTCATATGTGGCTCAGAACTACACCCCCTGCACAACGCAATGCTTAGTGAACCGGTTATCTGGGGACTGGTTTCCAAAGTTAGGCAAACTGAGGTCACACTTCTAGCAAAGACAGTAAATCCCATCCTGCAGCCAAGCTTGCTCGCCTGCAAAACGGGGATGATTAAACCATCTTCCCAGTCTTACTTCACGGATTCAAGTCAGCATTCAACAGTGGTTGACCGAGTACCTCTCTGTGCCAGCAGTGGCCCAGGTGCCAGGGACACAGCACGGAACCAGAGTGGGGACATCAGGGCAGGCAGACAATAAGCAGACCGATCAGAAAAGCCTACCGTACGTCAGAGGGTGACATACTCTAAAAAATCTAAAATAAAGGGAAAAAGGGAAAAGAATGAGCTTAAAGTTTTACACTACGGTGGGTGAAGGCTTCACTCAAAAGGTGACATTTTAAGGGAAGACTACAAGGGTGGGGGGAGTCACGTGGGCACATAAAAAAAGAACCGCTCGGATAAACAACAGGGTCCAGTGCATGCAAAGGCCCTGAGGTAGGGCTCGCCGGGGACGTGTAAGCAGCAATGCGGCTGGTGCAGACTGAGTGTGTGGCGGTGGCGATGGGGAAGGGGATGAGGACAGAAGGACGTCGGCTGACACACACGAAGTTCCCCGCGTCTGGACCTGTCCCATCTTGTCCGGCTGCCTAAGCCTCACCTCTGCTCCTCTACCCCGTGTGCCTTCCCCCCTTTTCTCCCAGGTCACCCTCTCCTCCCTGGTCAGGCCTCAGCTCAAGATGTGCTTCCTTCCAAGAAGCCCGTTCTGGTAATCGCAGGTGGAGCCAGGCACCACCGCCGGGAGCCCCCAGCTACCCCGGGCTCCTCTGTGTGGTGACAGGTCGCTCACTCCGAGGATCCCGTAAGGCCTAGCTTGGTTATCACACAGGGCAAGGCACAGCCGGCAAGGGTCGGATCCATGCACGGATGAGAGATGGGGTCCCGATGGGGGTGGGGTGGGGGTGGGCCTCACATGGACGCGGCAGCCGTCGTCTACGGGGTAGGAGCCCAGCAGCGCATCCTCCTGATCCAACTTGCTGTAGAATTTGTCGTCGACTCCATACAGCTCCAGCTCCATGCAGGAAGCAGGGCTGCCCACCACCAGCTCCAGTTTGCACTGCGGGGAAAGGGCCGGATGAGGAGAAAGCGTGCCAGAGGCCCCATCCTCAGCCCTGAGGCTCCGCCCCGTGTGTCAACAACCGCCCGCCCACCTGGGCTCCCGCAAAAGCCCCTCCACGGAGCCCCGCCCCTCTGCTCAGGCCGCAGCCCCCGGCCTCGCCCCTGCTCTCTGGAATCTCGGGTTCTCTCCGGCCTGCGCTGCAGGGCCCAGCCCCCTCGCCGCTCCCTCGGGCCGAGGGGCCCTGCCCCGGGCTCTGCGAGCTCGGATAATCGCTCGCCCCTCCCCACGCCCGCGGAGCCCCCATTGCACCTCGCCCCGCCCCTCCAGGCCCCGCCCCCGCGACCACACCTTGAATTCCGCGATGGTGAGGCTGCGACTGTAGCGCTTCTCCGAGCGGAAGCTGTTGAGGGAGCTGCTGATGAAGATGGTCACCGTGGGCGCCGATATCCCCGCCACCTCCATCTCGCCGCGCCCTGCAACGGCCCGCGACCCGGTTCCACCGCCTCACGCCGGCTCCGCAGACGCCGCCTCTGCCTCTGGGCTATTAGCCCCGCCCCCGCTCCCGGATCCGACCAATCCACGAGCGCCCGCGAGACGGCTCCGCCAATCCCCGCCGTCTCTCCTCCACCGCTCCCGTAGTCTTAGACGGGCCCAGCCAATCCTGAGAGGTCTTCCATGGTTCACAGTCCTCCCAATCGCGGCCCGGGAAACGGCCAGGGCGGCCTGGCGGGGGCTGAAGCCGAGGGCAGAGACTGGCAAGACCGTCCGCCAGGGCTAAACCCGGCCTTCAGCCGAGCCAAGCGCAATGGCTTCTTCCAGTGCTGCTCAGGGCCTCGCGGGTGACATTGCCCGTCGTCCTGGATCCGGCTCTTGTTCTGAGGAGGCGGCGTCCAGAAGTCGGAAGCAGTTGCCCTAAGACACGTAAAGATGGAAAACAGTCACTCGGGGCGTAGCATGGAGGGGCCGGACCCCAAGGCCCCCGGCTCGGCAGCCAGCACGGTAGGCGGCTCCGCCCCTCGTCTGGCGAAGCCCCTAAAGCTGACCCTTCCCGCCACCTGTAGCACGGCCGGCACTTCACGCGGCTCCGCCCCCGTCTGGCGAAGCCCCTAAAGCTGACCCTTCCCGCCACCTGTAGCGCGGCCGGCACTTCACGCGCTCCGCCCCCGTCTGGCGAAGCCCTTAAAACTGACCCTTCCCGCCACCTGTAGCGCGGCCGCACAAGCGCCGACGGCGGAGCGACTGCGAGTCGCTATGGAACCGGACGGGACCTACGAGCCTGGATTCGTGGGCATTCGATTCTGCCAGGAATGGTGAGGCCGGGGGAGCGGCGTGTGAGGGGAGAGACGGGTGGTTCCAGGGCTGAGCTCTGACCTCCCCTTCCCCACAGTAACAACATGCTGTACCCCAAGGAAGATAAGGAAAACCGTATTCTGCTGTACGCGGTGAGCCCTGGCCTGTGGGGCGCCCCGCTGGCCCCGACGTGTCCTGGCGTCGCCTCCCCGTCACCCCGCGAGTGGACCCGGCCGCCTGTCTCGGCCGCAGCCCTCCCCTCCGCCCCGGGCCCTCCGGGGGCGTCCCCGTGACCGCCTTCCCGCCCCACTCGTCCTCCCGCAGTGCCGGAACTGTGATTACCAGCAGGAAGCCGACAACAGCTGCATCTACGTCAACAAAATCACGCACGAAGTGGAGTGAGTGGCGGCGCCGCAGCTGGGGGGCGGGGGCGTTGGCTCGGGAGGCCGAGGGGGGGACTCACGCAGCCCCCTCCCCGCAGCGAGCTGACCCAGATCATCGCCGACGTGTCCCAGGACCCCACGCTGCCGCGGACCGAGGACCACCCGTGCCAGAAGTGAGAGCCGAGCCGGTGCCGGGGAGGGGGCGCGGCCGTCTTCAGTGGGCGGGGAAAGGCGCGGGAGGGCGCGGCGAGCCCTGCGTGACCCAGCCGCCCCCCACCAGGTGCGGCCACAAGGAGGCGGTGTTCTTCCAGTCCCACAGCGCTCGGGCCGAGGTGAGGGTCGCCTGCCTCCCGGGCCACGGGCTTGGGCCTTCCCAGGGGCGGGGGGCGCAATTCCAGGGTGACCCTGCCGGCCCGGAACTCTGGGCCTTGGGAAGGTTCCCCAGGCCGTTCTTTGGGGGCGAGACCCCGTTGAGTGTGTGTGTGGGGGGGTGCCCCGTGCTGTTTCCCGACCCTGAGCGTGCCCCCGTTTCTGCCAGGACGCCATGCGCCTGTACTATGTGTGCACGGCCCCACACTGTGGCCACCGCTGGACCGAGTGACCGCCGCGCCGCGGGTAATAAATGCCAAGTACTGCACAGCGCTTCCTGTGTTTATTTGCCTCGTGGCTGGGATGGCTGAGCCGAGCGGCTCAGGCGGGGCGGTGCAGGGCGCGGTGCTGCGCGTAGGCGTCGGGCCGCGAGCTGGTGAAGCCGCAGTCCTCGCACACGTGCAGCTTCTCGCGGCGCTCGCGGTAGGCGTAGCTGGCTGGCTGCCCGTGCACCTTGGCGAGGTGAGCTTCGAGGGAGCAGCGCTGCGTAAATGCCTTCCCACAGGCTCCGCAGCGGAATGGCCGGATCCCTGTGCGGACGGGCAGCAGAGGGGGACCGTGGCCTCCAGACAAGGATGCCTGCCAGCCGCCGTCTGCTGCCCCCAGGCGGGGCATGCGGGGCCGGACCTGCTGACCTCGCCCCCCCCCACCAGTGTGCCCTCCCCTGGGGGGTTCCTTACACCCCTCCCATCCGGGCCCCAAGTCCTGTCAGCAGCACCTGTCTTCCCGCCGTACACCTCCCTCCGTGTCATTCTGCCCCGCCTGGGGCCCGCCAGCCCCGCTCGGTCCGCGCTGTGGCTCACCAGTGTGAGTCCTCATGTGGCGCTTGAGGTCGAAGGCGTCGTGGAAGCCTTTGCCGCAGCAGCGGCACACGTGGCGGCGGGCCGGGCTGTGGCACTTGAGGTGGCGCGTCAGCATGCGTTGCAGCGGGAAGGCCTTGGGGCAGAGCGGGCAGCCGAGTGTCCCGGGGCCCCTGGGAGCAGAGGCCAGGGTGCCCTGTGTGGGCTTCCAGGGGGACATGCGTTAGCAGCCCCCCAGGCTGGACCCTCCTCACCCTTCGTTCCTGCACAAACGTGTACTGACAGAGTGCCCAGAGCCTGGGGTTAGTGTGTGCGCGTGTCACCCGCTCTGCACGCCTCCTCTTGGCCAACCCCCATGGCGCTTACCGTAACTATTTCTCCATAGCAAGTACCATTATCCTCTATACCTCCCTGCCCCGGTAGAATAAAAGCTCCACACAGGAGTGAGTTTGTGTCTTCCCGGTAAATACACCGTGCCTGCCTGGAATGGCGCCTGGTTCTCAGCGACCACTGAAATGTTCAGGTCCACATCTGCATTCCGGCAAATGCTGATCTAGCCTTGGCCGGTGTTGACAGCACATTGCCCCCTCCTCCTTGGATCCTGTCCTGCCCTACTGGACACTGGATGGAGATGTCCCTGGGGACAGAGGCTGCGACTGTCTCACCGCCCCACCCCCGCGGTGGGAAGACAGGGCTTGGAATACGACCTTCCAGCGAGCTCACTGCTAGAGAAGCAGCGGGAGGGCCATGGGGGGCCGGGGAGTGAGGGGCAAGGGCGGGCAGCACTGGGTGAGGCTGAGTGGGCAGGAGGAAACTGAGTCCTACGCTGGGGCCCAGCTGCAGACTCACCGCTGCCCAGGAGTCCCCGAGGCTGGAGGACTGGGGTGTGGGTGGCCCACCCCGGCTGCTGCAGGCTGAGGAGAGAAGCCAGACGGTGATGCTTTGCGTCTCCCCTGCCCCTCACCTCCAGGCCCAGTGAGGGGCCCACCTGGGATGTAGGCATCTCCCCGGAGCTGGTCAGGCAGGTGGCCCCAGTTGGGTGGCTGCGGGCGTCGACTCCTGACCAGGAAGGCTCGGGGCATCACCTCGGGAATGGTGCGATGGCTCCACACACATGCACAGGGCTGCCCCCTGCACCTGCTGTTGGCCCTCAGCTCCCAAGAGACCTATCCCAGGTGGGAAGGGAGGGGAAAGCCCGGAGGAGCCTCATTCTCTTCATGCAAATTTCGTGACAAGACCAGGGAGCAGCCGGAGCTGGCCTGGTTACCTCTGCCCTGGGCCAGCCACTTCTCTCCTGGGCCAAGTTCCTGCAGGACCTCTCAGCCTCCAGGGGCAGACAAGCACTGAGACCCCCAAGGAGGGTCAAGCAAGAGGCGATGGGGAGAGGAGGTAGGCCCAGGGGGAGTGAGCGTCCCCATGGAATTAAGGCAAGGGACTTAGGGCTCTGTTTGCCAGGCAAATCAGTCACTACCGGACATCCAGCAGCCTGCTTGGCTATTCAAATCCAGCAGCTGTCTGGGGAAGGAGGGGCAGGGTGGTGCAGGGACAGCGGGTCCACAGGGAGGGACCAGGCTGTGCACCTTCAGGCAGGAGATGCCATCTCTCCGATCCTCAGATGTCTGGGGCTGATGTTCAGCCAGAAGCATGGTTCAAGTGCAGTAGGTGTTAAAATTAGGTTAATAGCCTGACCTTTAGTGACTGCCTGGGACACCACTCTTCCCATCTCCCATAGTCTGGAAAGTAAAGGAAGTCAGTCTCCTGACAGCCAGGGCTCCTGCGATCCCACCCCAGCACTCTGGCCAGGTTTTCTTCTAGATTGGCCATTGTCTGATCTCTTTTTTAATTATTATTTTTTTGACAGGCAGAGTGGACAGTGAGAGTGAGAGACAGAGAGAAAGGTCTTCCTTCTGTTGGTTCACCCCCAAATGGCCACCATGGCCAGCGCACCACGCTGATCCGAAGCCAGGAGCCAGGTGCTTCTCCTGGTCTTCCATGCGGGTGCAGGGCCCAAGCACTTGGGCCATCCTCCACTGCCTTCCCGGGCCACAGCAGAGAGCTGGACTGGAAGAGGAGCAACCGGAACAGAATCCGGCGCCCCAACCTGGACTAGAACCCGGGGTGCCAGCACCACAGGCGGAGGATTAGCCTATTGAGCCACGGCGCCGGCCCATTGTCTAATCTCTTAACTAGGGTTATGGGTCTGGAACACTCCCAGGTAGTTATTTTATCTCATTTATTTACCCAAGAATATTTTCTTTTTAAAATTTTTATTTATTTATTTGAAAGAGTTACGCAGAGGCAGAGGCAGAGAGAAAGAAGTCTTCCATCCACTGGTTCACTCCCCAAATGGCCACAATGGCAAAAATTGGACCGATCTGAAGCCAGGAGCCAGGATCTTCTTCCAGGTCTCCCATGTGGGTGCAGGGGCCCAGGCACTTGGGCCACCTCCCACTGCTTTCCCAGGCCACAGCAGAGAGCTGGATCATAAGAAGAGCAGCTGGGACTTGAACCAATGCCCATATGGGACGCTGGCACCGCAGGTGGAGACTTAACCTACTATGCCACAGCACAGGCCCCATACCCAGCAATATTCTAAGCTCCAACTGCAGGCCAGGCTTAACTCAGCACCAAAAATGAATACCAAGTCCAAAGGAAAGACACACCAATGGCAACCCAGAATGATCAACAGTGAACGGGAAGGCACTGGCATTGTGGCACAGCGGGTAAAGCCACCACCCGTGACACCAGCATCCCATGAGCACCAGTTAGAGCCCTGGCTGTTCCACTTCCAATCCAACTCCCTGCTAATGCTTCTGGGAAAGCAGCACAAGATGGCCCAGGTGCTTGGGACCCTGCCACCTATGTGGGAGACCCAGATGGACTTCCTGGCTCCTGGCTTCAGCCTGGCCATTGCAGCCATTTGGGAACTGAGACAGCAGATGGAAGCTTTCTCTCTGTTAACTCTGCCTTTCAATCTTCTTCTTTTTATTTTTTTCCTTTTCTTTTTTTAAATTTGTCTTTTTAAAAAACATTTTTAAGTGTTTTTATTTATTTGAAAGGCAGAGGTACAGAGCAGAAGAGGCAGAAAGAGAGAGAGAGGTCTTTCATCCGCTGGTTCATTCCCCAAATGGACACAACGGCCGGAGCTGTCCTGATCTGAAGGCAGGAGCCAGGAGCTTCTTCCAGGTCTCCCACGTGGGTGCAGGGTCCATCTTCCACTACTTTCCCAGCAGAGAGCTGGATTGGAAGAGGAGCAGCTAGGACTTGAACCGGCGCCCATATGGGATGGAGGCACTGCAGGCAGTGGCTTTACCTGATGTGCCTCAGTGCCAGCCCCTGCCTTTCAATCTTGAAACAGGAAGATGTGATTTTCGGTGAAAGGGAAGGGTATTCAGGCAGGAACAAAGTCCTGGCAGTGAGAGGGAGCATTTCTTCACGTCCCTCCGGTCCCTGAGAATCAGTGCAGCTGACCCGTGGCAGGAAGCTAAGGGCCACAGTGCTGAGATGCAGAACAGGCTTTCGCCTCCCACTCCCCAGTTTGTACTCAAAGTCCACGTGAGAAGGCCGCGGCCTCCATGCAGCCAGGGGATGGCTAGGCAGTGCCCCGGCCTCAGCGGGCCCATCTGTAACTGGGGGTTGAAGGGAGGCCCTGCAGCCACGGCTGCTGTGGCCGGAGCAGGTCTGGCAGACGCTGGTGTGAAGGGAGAGCCTGGCCAGCGTGCGGGGAGACTGTTTCCTCGGTTGTCCTGTCCCCATGCCCACCGGTACGTCTCCGGGGGGCACTGGTGCTAGGTGTCATTTGCCCCCAGATGCCTCTCTGTTCTGTCTCGCCCTGCTCCACGGCCTGGACCTGGTGGGCTGCGTGACCAGGGCTCCAGTACCCTCTGGCTTCTGGTAGGAGTTGGACGACAGGGCAGTAACAAGCTCAGGGTGTTGAGTCCCCAGCTCCCCCTAGTGGGGCTGCCAGAGCCAGAGCTCCTCTCCCAGGGCCCTGCCTTTCTGGTTTTCGCTTTGCACCTGCGGCCCAGGGTGGTAAGAGCCCCGCTCTGGCAGCAGTCCCAGGGAAGTCAGCAGGGACTGTACCGGCCTGGTGATTCCCTAGTCCTGCCCACTGCTTTGCAAGCTGTCTCCCTGGAACACAGGCACGCTCCTCTTCTGCTGGCGCTCTGCGGGTCCCCCGATGGCAAGCACGCCCTCCAGCCCCAGCAGCACTGTCTCCCCAGGAGGTCTGAGCACACTCAGGGCTCAGGAGCTTGGCTTTGAAGGGGGCAGCGCCACACTAGCTGCATCCTACCTACCAGCCCTGTTCCCTTCTGCTCCAGAACCCAGCCCTGTCTTGCAAACACGCCTTGGACAGCAGAGGGTCCCACGGCAAAGCGCCAAGGCCTCTGGGAAGACTTCCCGTCACCATGGTGGGTGCCTTGCTTCATGCCTTTGCTCCTAGTTGGGTGAGGTTGCGCTGCTGGGTGCCACAGCAGCCATGTTGTAATTGTGAGGCTGTGAACTAAGAGGCACACTCGTCCCTGCAGCTTGGGCCTTCTGTGGTCCTGATGTGTTCATGTCCTCATGACACAAGGCCCAGCTGTGCCACCGCACAGATCAGAGTGAAGTGCACACATCACAGCAAGCTGGGAGCGGGGCGGGGGTGGGGGGGAGGGCCTGCCCCTGCCAGCGTCCCTTGTGTAGGGACTTGGTCACAAACCCACTTTCTCAGCAGACACACCACGTGGAGGATGCCTGCTACCTAGGGGAGCTGGCACCAGTGCTGGGAGTTCACGGGACGAGGCTGGACGCAGCCTTCCCGCTGAGGTCAGTTACTGGTCCCAGCTGCGGGATGGCCCGGGCCTCCAGCCGGACTGTCAGTTTCTCCTGCCGTGGATGGGGCCTCCAGTGGGTTCAAAGCAAGAAGGGCTGGCCCCTCCTTGGGGGACAGCTGGCCCCACTGGTCAAAGACCACACACAACCATCTACCCCCTCCAGTGGCAGCCCCATGGGGTGGGGCTGGGTGAGGTGGGAGGCCAGGCCCTGGGGCAAACCTGGGTCTCCTGAACATAGCTCTCTACCAGTTTGTGGATGGGCCAGGGTAGGCACTACAAACTACTGCTCCAAGCCTGTCAGTTTAATTCTTAAAATACCTATTTCTTCAAACACAGCAGAGGTGTGGGGGAGGGGGTGCTGCCGGCCCTCAGTCCCCCCGCGCCTTCCTCCGCACGGCCTGTACCAGCAGTTCCGAGTAGTGTTCTAGCAGGGCGTGCAAGTCTGGGCTGGCCAGCGGGCACAGCGGAGGTGGGGAGGGGGGCGCTGGGCTGGGCAGGGCCTGGGCGGGGGCCATGTCAGTCCCAACTAGCCAGTCGGTGGCCTCCAGCTGGCTGTGGATCCAAAGGAAGGTGGACGCCAGCTCGGTCTGTGCCTGCCGCCGCTCGGCCCCCATCTGGTTGCTGGAGACCAACTGCAAGGGACGCCGATCGGGTCAGGGTCCACCCAGGCCAGGCAGGCCCAAGGGACCCCCTTCACCCCTTTCCCTGCCTCGGGCCTGGCTTACCGTGTGGTAAAGGCCCAGGGCTTCTTGGAAGGCAGTCTGCAGCCTGCGCACGACACTCCCCACGCTGGTCAGCTCAAGGGGCACTGGGGGCGGGACTTCAGCCGGCAGCCCCGGCTCCCCGCAGTGGCCAGGGCTGCCCCGGATCAGGCTGAGTGCACCTGCAGGTGGAGAGGAAGAACAGGCCAGACATTTGTTCTTCCTGGCTGGTTGCAGAGGGGTCTGGGGGCTGGGCCAACTCTGACAGCGGTCGGTCCGCAGCACGCCCTTCACGCCCCAAGGCCCCTGCCTCCCCTCTGTTTCTCCTGTGGCCAAATCACTTTGTGATGCATGTGACACTCTGGTTCTGCCTGGGCGCTGCCCCTAGCTACGATGTCAGTTCTCTGTAGTCTCATTTACCACCATGTCCCCAATGCCTGACATACATGAAGTGCTCATTGAATATTTAAGTAAACCCGCAAAGGAACGCATGGCGCCAGTCCTGGGCCAGAGCAAGTGTCCACCTCTGGCACTGAGCTCAGGGGACTGTCCCCACGTGGTACTCACCAGGGGTGGGCTCCAGGAAGGAAGCAGTGCAACTAGGGACTCCAGGCCTGGCCTCTGGAAACTGGGGGCTGTTGGGGTGGGCAGGAGAGTTGAGGGGCTCAGGAGCTGGGAGCCTTGTGAGAAAGGCAGAGTGGTGGGGCCTTGGGACATTATTATCCATGGGGCCGGGTGCTGGGGCCGTGACACAGGGCTGGGCTTCCGTGGGCTTCTGGGACCAGACACGTGTGGGTGACTCCAGAGGGGGTGGGGACAACAGGAGCCTGTCACAGACACTTGGCAGGGTCAGTCTCAGGTTGGCCCGGGCCTCGTGGTTGCCCCGGGAGGGGAGGGTGGGCCCTTGGCTCTCGCTGCCAGAACTGGGTGTCGCTGTGGCGGTGATGGGGTGGAGCTCCTGGCCCAGGGAGGCCAGCTCCCCCACAGATGAGGGCCTTCTGAGGGCCCTGGCCAGCTCAGCCACAACAGAGCCTTCACTGTCCTCCAGGGAGATGCTGCGTGACATCTTGGCACGGAAGCTGGCAGTGGCCTCCATGTAGGAACAGGTGGAGGGGGTGTGGACACCCGGAGCCAGGCCGGGGGGAGGTACGGATGTGGGTGTCGGCGGCTTCCTGTCTGTGGGAGGCACTGGGGAGGAAGGGACACAGGGAGCCGGGCAGGTGAGGCAGGAGGCTGAAAAGGAAGTAGAGGCGCGTGCTCAGCCCCCAGTCGCAGAGTGCATGGACAGCATCCCCTCAGGGTGGTGACAGGGTCTGAATGCACCCCCACCCAGCAGCCCCCAGGGCTGTCCACGTGGGGCTGGGGGCACTCACTCCGTGGGCACCAGGCCTCCGAGGTCTCCGCAGCCTTCTCCCCACAGCGGACCTGCAAGCAGAGCTCTGAGGTGAGGACAGGCTCCTGGCTCTGAGCCCCGGGCCCCGGAGGACGGCGGCTCCAGTACTCACCGTGCTCCCCTCCGGGGAGGCGTGGCCAGCACCTGCTCGCAGGGGCTCGGCTCTGGGCTGGCTCCCCCTGCTGTCCGTGGGCTTCACCTCGGGAGACTTGGCCAGGTGGCGGGGCAGCCGGGCAGGGAAGGCCTGGGCGAGCCTGTGGGGAGGGAAGCAGCTGGGCGGGGCCGCTCCCCCAGCCTGTCCGGGTGCCGGCCGCGGGGCTGGGAGTTCCGCCCTCCTACCTGGATGGCTTCTGGAGGCGTGAGAGGAACTGGGCCGAGATGCTCAGCCGGGGGTTGAGGAAGACGTCCTCGGCCTCAGGGACGTTCGCGTCCCCCAGGGAGCCGTGGAAGAGCTCTAAGGCGATGCCCAGGGCGCTCAGGGTTGCTGCGCTCACAGGCCAGCAGGCCCGCCCCACAAGCCTCCACAGGAACCCAGCGGGGCAAAGGCAGCGGCGGGAGGAGCTGCGCACTCAGCCGGCCCTCCCCGCCCGCGCCAGCCTCGCCCGCGCCAGCCTCGCCCCGCCCCGCCCGGGGACAGGCCTGCCCCAGACGCCCACACGTGCCCGGGCGGGGCTCAGAGCGGTGGCCCTACCTTCAGGGTGGGCGTCAGTGAGGGTCTCGAAGTGGTGGCGGAGGAACTTCTCCTGCTCAGGGGTCTGGGGCAGGGAGCTGCTGGGCATGCTGGGCCCCTCGGGCCGGGGCAGCTCCTCCTCCGAGGGGCCTGGGCAGCCTGGGAGAGCGACAGAGGGGGACAAGGCGGGCAGAGAAGCTGTCACATGCGTCACAGGAGCCGCCACTCGACAATGGAGAAAGCGGGACTCGCCCCGCCCTCGCCCTCGCCGCCATCCGGCCGAGGCACCTGAGGCTCAGTGGGCGCAGGCCAGGGCTGCCTGTGCCCACCCCTCAGCCGGGCCCAGGCCCTGGGCTTCCCTGTATGGCCCCTGCTCACCTCGTGAGTGGGGCGTCGTTCCGGCACAGCGAGGCCCTGGCTCGGGCCGAGGAGGGGAGGCCTGGCTGCACTCCACATCACTGTCTGACTCCCCCGAATCTGCAGAAGCAGAGCACAGGGTCAGAGGCCCCCAGTGCCCACACCGGGTGAGCCAGGGCATGTGGGCATCGGTTTCCCCATCTGGAGAATGGGGACAGTGACAGCAGCCACCCCTATTTTTCTGAGCCAGGGAAGTTGCGTGGCGAGGAGGGGGCAGAGCTGGGTTCTCAGCGGGAGCAGGGCTCCAGAACCCTCAGGCAATGGCAGGAACCATGTCTGTCTTCTTAGGGCAGGTGGGTCAAGGTCACCATCAGTACCCAGGAAGGAGCCTGCTGGCGGAACAGACTGTCAGAAGGTCCTTGCCTGCTCCACACTCACCCTCGGGTGGGCTCTGATCCTTCGAGCTGATGGAGGAGACCCTGAGGTAGGAGTCAGCGAGCTGGTCTCCAGGCCCTGCCTCGGCCTCCTTCTCGAAGGACTCGCTGCAAGGCCGCGTGAGTGGGGTGAGGAATGACTTACACTGGCGAGCAAACACCTGGTCCCACCCAGAGCCTGGGCACCAGCACCCTGCTCGACCACGAGCCCTCTCTTGGCTTCTCCCGTCTCCCCCTGTGCTCCCTTCCCGTGCTGCACCCCACCTGGAGCCAGCAAAGCCAAGGCTGCAGTTGTGACCCCTTCCTGCCCATCCGGGCCTCAGCCCTCTCCCTCGGCGGTCTCCATGCCATGGCCCCAGGGAGAGGCCCCTGTGCGCCCCTCAGCAGGGGGCTCCTCTCTCCAACTACAGCTCCCTGCAGTGTGGAGGCCACTCACCTGTCTGTCCCCGGGACTGGCACCTCTGCCTCCAGGGAGTAGATGAAGAGCTCGCTGGCCTCCGCTGGCTCCCTCTGTGGTGGCAGGAAGGGGCGCTGCCCGCAGCCGTCCTCGCGGGGGCTCTCTGACTGTGGGGGGAGGGGGCGCAGCCTCCTGAGGCCGCTGTGCAGCCGGGCCTCTGCAGGCCACCCAGCATTAGGCCAGCTAAGGCCTAGGAGGAAGCTGCCCGGGGCCTCAGCCTCGGACAGAGCCAGGACCTGTGCCAAGAGCCCTGCTCCCTGACCCGGTCCTGTGCTTCCCCTGCACTGTCGGCCCTATGGCTCTACCCTCTAGGAATCCACTTAGATCAAGTTCAAGAACGAGCAGGCCAAACCAAGGTGAGAGGCTGGAATACTGGCTACCTTGAGCTAGGGGAGGGGCACCAGGGGTCTCCTAGGAGGCAGAAAATACTCGGTTTTGACCGCGGTAGTCGATACATGGGAATCACCCAGGGAGTCCACCGAGCTCTGTGCCTCGTCGGTGCGTTACTGCATGTGGACAACGGGGCTTCGGAAAGGGCACAGAAATGCATATTATGAAAAAAGCTACGCGTGGACTTCTTTTTTTTTTTGCACCCTAATCAACTTACTATTTAATTCCATTTGTTGACAAACTTTTGGAAGTTTCCTTGTCTTGCACCATAATGAAGAAGAAAACCGCACAGCGCACTAAAAAGTTCTGCTTGGAAAACAACAGAGCTACAGCTGCTGGGGCCCAGCCCTGCTCCTGGTGCTGGCTTCCTGCAGAAGCCCTCTGAGGCACAGGAGAACCTAAAGCCCAGAGAGGCAAAGCCTCTTACTCCAGGTCACACAGCCAGGAAAGGGAGGGCTCAGGGCTCCATCGACTCAAATGCCCCTCACTCAGATACAGAGGGGCTGGGCTGCTCTAGGGCCATGCTCTTAGACCCAAAGCACCTACTTCCTGAAGGCTCCTGGTCTATCCTGGGAGGTCTCACTGTGCAACAGACCTGGGGCTCCCCGTCCTGTCCTCTCCACACCTCTGGAGTCAAAGTAAGAGACCCCCCGGCCCCACGTCCTGGGTGGGCAGCCGTAGCGCAGAGGCTGCAGGCAGGGCTGGGGTGGGCGGGCTCCGTACCTCGCTCAGCAGACCTGCCAGGTTCTGTGGCTCCACCGTGTCCAGAATGGAGTCGTCCAGGCTCTCGGCCTTCATGGGGGTAAAGTAGCAATCCAGCTCCCGCGCATCCAGGATCGTCTTGAGGGGCTCCTGGCCAGCCCGTTCCGCCCAGCGGCCGTGGGGCTGGTAGCTGCGCTTGGGGTGGAAGGCCGAGCCGTCCGCCACATCGTCATCTCCTAGCTTGAGGGAAAGGGGAAGGTCAGGCAGCAGCCCTGCTCACCAGCTCCAGTGAGGACCACGGACACTGCGCAGGCCGCAGCCATTTGCAGACAACTTCAGGCTGAACTGCACACGCACTGCTCTGCGTCCCTGCACGCACGTTCGGCTGCGTTTCAATTAGCTAACGTGTTGAAAACTCCTGATTTTTGTCCCGGGCCTGCTCTTCCTAAAGGCTCCCCTACCTCAGCCATTCTTTCCAGTTGCTGAGCCCCAAAGCTCAGGATCCCCCCTCATTCCTCGCTTGTTCTGTACACCGTATTTCAGCTGAAAATCCTGTTAGCCCCGCCAGACAAACACTTCCAGAACACGGGTGTGCTCGCTCTGGTCCTGTGAATCCACTACTCCTCCCAACACTCTGGATGGACAGACTGCAGAGGACACAGGCTCTGAGCCAGCCCACCCCACCCAGGGTCAATCTCACACCTGAGTCCTAGGTATAAGACTCTGGGCCTCAGCTTCCCCAGTTGATGTGGGGCTAAGAAGAGCCCCTACAAGGGCCGGTGCTGTGGATAGCGGGTTAAGCCACCATCTGCAATGCCGGTATCCCATATGGGCACCAGTTCGAGTCCTGGCTGCTACTCTTCCAATCCAGCTCCCTGATAATGGCTTGGGAAAAGCAGTGGAAGATGACCCAAGCGCTTGGGCCCCTGCACCCATTGGGAGACCCAGAAGAAGCTCCCGAGTCCTGGGCTTGGCCTTGCCCAGTCCTGGCTGTTGCAGCCATCTGGGGAGTGAACCGGCAGATGGAAGATCTCTGCCTCTCTTCTCTCTATATAACTCTTTCAAATAGACAAATAAATCATTAAAAAGAGAGAAGAGCCCTACTCGGCGAGGCGTCAACGGGCTGACCTAGTGAGAGGCTCAGCACCACGGAGCTGCCGCACATCATTCCCGCTGTTACCCGGGCTGGGCAGGGAAATGTCAGGGCCTGAGTGGGCAGAACCAGGCGCCCTGACCTGGCCTGCAGAGGGAGACTTCCCTGAGGAGCTGGCACCGAGGCCAGGACCTAAAATATGACACTGTTCCTGAAACAAACTCCAAACCTAGAGTGTGCCGCCAGCTTCTAAGCCATCAGCTCCCAGCTGGCTCCTCTCCAGGGCCAACAATCGTTCATTCAATCTTAAGGCCACCTTGGTCCTTCTCTATCCCTCACAACCAGCTGTTCCCCTCTGAAGTCCACCTAGAATCCCACCCTTTCTTGCTGCTCCAGCCTCTTCACCTGGATGACAGCAGCAGCCTCCCACCCCCACTCCCCACCCCAGCCCTCAGTGTTTGCCACCTGCGGCCTCGGCACCTGTCAGCCCTGAGTTGGATCCAAGCCTCCCTTGGCCCCAGCTCATCCAGGGGCACAGGGAGGAGTAGGGCAGGACAACAGGGCGTGTCCTGGGAGCTCATGGAGCTCTTCTCCCCACTCCATCCCGGGGGCACCCCCAGCCTCCCTGCTCCTCCCGGAACGTTCTCAGTACAGTCCTGCCTCCTGGCCTTGGCAGTGCCCTGAGCTGCACGCCTCGCTTGCTCCAGTTCTGCTCAGATGTCCTCCTTCCTCAAGACCCTTTCTTCTTCCCCTAAAACTGCCCTCCTCCACTCTGCTTCTCGGAGTCTTTTTCTTCCACGGCGTTGATGAGCTCCCAGCACGCTGAGCAGCACTTATTTCCCATGACACTGTCCCTCTCCGACATCACAAGTAAGCCGTGAAGGGAGGGGCTGCCTGCCCTGCTCACTGCTCTACCTCCGAAAACCAGAACAGCACCCGGCACCGCGCGTGGGAATTGCATGAGCGCAGAGCTGTCCAGGCCGGCGCTGCGGGGCTGATGGCATGCTCCGGCCGCGGAGAGACAGAGAGAGGGAACGACGACCCGGAGGACAGCAAGGTGCGGGCAGGCCCCTCCTCTGCCCGCCCCAGGCGTTCCACTCCCCAGGAGACTCACCAGCCGCTTTGCCCAAAGTGGCAGCTTGCCGTTAGTCAGCAGGCAGCGAGGATCTGGAGAGACACAAGGAATCCATGGGAGTAGGACCAACAGCCTGGCAGACAAACGGGCAACGTGCACAGGTGGGCGGCTTCCCAAAGAGGCGGCACAGGAACTCACAGATCGAAAGGTGCTCAACCTCACTAATTGCCAAGGAATGCAAATTTAAACAATAGAATATAATGCTGTACTCGTAAGCCTGACCAAGATTAAAATACTTAACACTGCTGAATGTTGACAAAAAGTAGGGGGGGTGGAGGGCCCGGCACGGCGATGCATGGAGCAGTAATTGGATTTGGAGAGCTCTTGGGGTTCTCTCAAAAAAATAAGCCAACTCTTGGGTGGTGCTAAGAGAGGGCAGGCAGGTGGGTGAGCTGCTTCTGAGAGGAAGGAGAGAACAATCCCCAGGCTCTAAGACAGCTAATGGACATAAATAACACGATGTGTTCCCGGGCTATGTCCAAAGGCATATTAAGTTCAGGAAAATTCACACCAGACTGGTACGGGGTCAACCGGAGAGGACACCAGACTGGGCATGAGGGTGGCCACAGGCATCACGGACGAGCTCACTTTGTAACGTTCGCCTCTCTGAGGCTAAACTCTCACACCGCTGTTGCCCAGGAGGCAGATCCCCAGGCAGCCCCTGCCTGTGTCCCCTTGCAGGGACAGCCCACCCCCACCCTAAAAGCACGCTGGTCATCACCATTGCCAGCCTTGCTGGAAGCCACATGGCCAAGGGCAACCAAGGGAAGCCTGCCAGGGGCTTCTGGGCATCCTCTTGCAAGGGGATTCTCAGGAGGGAATGGCTCGCATCCTCAACCTGTCTCAAAGTTGCTGAGTGACCACTCTCCCTCTTGCCTGAACAGAATCTGTCTCGTCTTCCGGTTCATAGCACCGTGTCTCATAGACAGCTCTTATACCCCCTGCCTTTGGTCAAGTGGTTAAGCTGACTCTGCCCTCGGCTGATGGATCGCATGACTCAGGCCTGGTCAACCAGAGAGACTGGCTCAGAAACAGGCACATGATTCACACCAGAAACTTGAGTCATGACCTGGGATTTTGTATTAGAACCATTAACGAATCAGAATTAAAGAGGTGCTGGCCTCTCTATTGAGTTTTATAAACTGCAGTTGCTGGCACAGGCAGAGTCTGCCTGAAGGCACAGCCAGCGTGAAGAAAAGCCAACATGGACACAAGATGGGGACGGATATTTTCCTTTCGGCGTCACCTGACGCCCTGGATCGGGCCAGGCCTAATGCCAATCCTCTCGAATTTTCAGTTAAGTGAACCAAACACTCGCTCCAGCTTAACCAGACTCTCTAGTCTGGTTATTCTTGCTCTGAAAGAGCCCTGGCTGATACAGTTACTGAGTTTCAATCACTGCGCCAGGCCTGGCAAACACAGTGGGTGAAACCCCGGGATGACCAAGCAGGCCCCCCGACGGGCCGCCCACCCACCTGGATCCAAGCGCTCCTTGGACGGTGTCGTCAGCAGCTCTTCTGGCTCGCACTCCTCCTCCAGCTCTTCCTCCGTCTGCTCTCCAGGACTCAGCGAGCGAGGGGCACGGGGTGTGGTCGTGCACGTCTCCTGCCTGCAGCCGGAGGAGCAGTAAGGAGAGAAGTAGTGGTGAGTGGGGGTGGGGTCGGGAGGGGCCTCGTGCTAAGCTCCCTGTGGACACATTCCTGGCTTCTGGTCAAGATGGTGCTGGAAGGCCACTCGTTTGACACCAGCCCTCCACCAGAAAGACGTCCCCTCAACAAATACATAACAAAGGCTGCGCTCAAGATAAGACAAAGTGTCTCAGGGCCGTAGCAATGGGCCAGACGGCAAAGCGGACAGGGAGTCCGCCGTCCTGGACTGCAGGTGCCCTTTGGGTGCAGCCAAGAGATTTTTGCCTCTTTGGAGTTCAGGAAACTAAACAGGCTGGACACGCATGTGGTGGGCACCGGGGCCAGATCCCGCTCACAGTCAAACACCAAAAACCCCTGGTGCCGCGCTCTGTGGCACCTCCGCCCAGCTTGGACAGGCGGTCCGTGTCAGGGCCTAGTCCCACAGGGCCTGGGAGGCAACGGCAAAGCCTCAAGACAGAGAGGCCGTGAGGGGACAGAGCCAGAGGCAGAGGAGAAAGCCCAGAGGGCCTTGCCCTCAGGAGCACCTCCCAAATCAAACCCCGCAGCAAGAACACGAGTTCATGGAAGTTACCAGCGTGCGGCAGGAAGACTTTAACAACTACATCTAAGACCCCAAGAACTAAGTGAGGAAAGTGTCCCCTTAAAGGAAGAGGGGACGCCGAGCTGCGCGGAGCCCTCCCTACTGCCGGCCGTGCCTCGGCTTCCCCTCCCACGGTGCCTACAGGCCTGCCGTGCACTGTGCTTTCCCACTTGGAAACCCCTCCCACGTGCACTTCTGGAACTTTCCAGGCCACGTCTGTCTCCCCCACTGGGCCATGGGTGCCCTAAGGGCAGGGCCAGGGCTGTCCTGGCCACAGCCACGTCCCCAGCATCACTCTTCATGGGGCCCACGGCGGATGAAGAGAGGCTGCCAGGACCTGGGGTCGCTGCTCCAGTTCCGGTCCTTGGTGTGCTGCTGCTGCTCCTGGTGGTCCATCTCCAACAAGTGCTGCTTCATGCAGTTGGTGATCTCGGGGCCCAGGTGCCAGATGAACACACAGCTGCAGAGGCCAAAGCAGAGGTGGAAGGGGCAGAAGGAGTGACCGTGGGTGCCACCGCCCTGTCTGACCCCCGGGCCGCCTGGGTCCCCAGACCCTCCTGGAAAACACCCCTCCGCCGCTTGGCGTAGAGGTGCCAGACGTTGTCAGATCTATACCCTGGCCTGGGTCCAGGGCGTCCCAGCAAACCAAGGCCTGCACTGGAGGGAGGGAGCTTTGGGGATGGGCTGCAGACGGACAGGAGCGACCAGAGGGACAGAGGTCTTCCATCCACTAGTTTACTCCCCAGAGGGCCACAATGCCTGAAACCAGGAGCCAGGAGCGCCCAAGCACTGGTCCTTTTCACTAACTCTTTGAAGACCTCTCATATATGTCCCATCCGTTACCAGAGGGGCCCAGCCAGCTCTGCCCACCTGTCTCCGGACACTGTGATCAAGTGACGACAATCATAGGTGAACTTCATGCCAGTGACGATTTCTGCAAGCAAAGCAGAAAAACTGCCCTTGCCTTTGGAGTCAGAGGCGGTATAGGCGGGGGAGGCCTGGGGAAGGCGCTGAGCAGCCAAACACACCCACCTGAGTGACCGAACATCTTGGCAACACACTCGCCCGAGTAAAAGTCGATCACTGAGATGCTTTTGTCAGAGCAGCTTGTGGCCAGGAAGGTGCCTGAGGGGTCCACATGGACCTGCCGGGAAGAGGACCCAAGTGTCACTCAGCCCCTCGGCTTCTTCCTATTGTGAGGCCTGGGCCAGACAGCCCAGCACCCCAGGGGGGGAGGCCCAGCCCTTTGCAGGACCCCCAGCGCAGGAAATCGTGCCAGGAGTCCTCACGATGCACCCAGGCAGGGGAGGGGGCTCCTGCTCCCCACTACCACAGCATGACGGTAGCAGGGTCCCGTGCTAAGCACTGCACCTGGCCGAACTTGACCCCTTCACAGAACTGCCTAGGACAGGAGCGGTTTCTATCTGCTGTTTACAGGCAATGAAACAGGCGCCAGAGTTGACACTTGAACAGGATCACACGCAGAGTGAGGCAGAGCGGGGGCTGAGCTTGGAGCCTGAACTCGGTATTACCAACTCAGTAGGCCAGAGGCTCTGAGGCCTCCACCTTGTGTCCAGCAGGGCCAGGCCCGGAGATGAGTCCATGCCTCTCAGGTTCTTCCTCCAACTCTGTTGCCACTCAAAACAGAACCCACCCAAACGCCCCTGCCTGAGGCAGGGCTCAGTAAATAGAGGGACCACAGTCAGGGCCCCCCACGCCCCATCCCCAGCTTCCTCGGCTAACCAGGCCCAAGTGGACACTGGCAGCCTGCGATCATTTAAGCACTAAGGACACAGGGCAGGCGGCCCAGGATGGGAGTTCCCACCCCTCACCTTCAGCAGGGATCCTTCATCACCCTGGGAGCCCTTGTAGCACTTCTTCTGCTTCCCGTTCACGGTGTTGTAGACCCTGGTGGGGAGGGGGCACGATGCAGCCAACAGGGCCCTGCCCGCCCGTGCCCTCCTACCAGCTGGTCCTGGTTCCTCTGCCCTGGAATCCTGTTATCTCCTGCCCCCATCCGGGGCCTGGACAGAAGCCCTGTCTCAGGGACTGAGACCCAGCTCTGTGAGGTGAGGGAGCTTCTGTAGTGGGAGATGCACTGAGTGAACGCCTGCCTCCCTCTTGTGCCCAGTTTGAACAAGCCATGAAGGAGCAGAGAGCCCTGCATGCCTCTGCCCTCTGCCGCTTGGCCTTGCCCAGCTCGCTCCTCCACATCCCCTGGGCTCAACTACATGTCTCTCCCTCCAGAGGTCAGGGAGCTCCCCAGAGCCCTGGGACCCAGCCCTGACCACCCTGTGTTGTCACTCTCTGGACCATAAGCTCCATGAAGGAAGGCCGGGGACTATCCTGGCTATAGCTGTGACCCCAACACCGCACTGCCCAGAGAGGACTTAGGGAATGCACATGACTGAGTCACCCCACACGGGTCCCAGGAGACCAGAAGGGAACCCTCTGTGGATGTGGGAGCAAGGCCTGGGAGGGCTCAGCTTCTAAGAAACACGTGCTGGGTCCCTGCGCCCCTCCCAGCTTCTCCGGGGTCAGATGAGCAAGGGGAGGAAAGCAGACAGCCCAGGAGAAGCCCGGCTAGGTCCAGCTAAGGGCGCAGGGCAGTTCCTCACCTCACGTTGCGGTCCTGGCAGGCCACGGCCACGTACTTCTGGGTGATGTCAATGTCCATGTCATACAAGGTGGTTTTCTCTGCCACATGGTGGGTACGGACAAAGTGGAGCCCATCTGAGGCCTGGCGGGTAGGCAGGACTAAAGTGAGGACACCCAACACGCCCCCCGGCCCCCACCCTCGAGGACACGGCACCTACCTGCTGGGCACTGCGGAAGTAGATGCTCTTGTCGGCCCCACAGCTGATCATCTGGATGTCTCTGTGGCCTGGGGGAAGAGGAGGCAACGCCTCTGACATGGGAGCTGCACAGGCTGGGGGCCCTAGCTAGGGAACTCTGCTGCAAGGGCCATCAACCCGCAGGGCAGGCCTCTGCAGAACAAGATCAGAGAGGGACCCAAAGCTCGTGACACAGAGGGACACCATCTCTAGCGTGGCATTCAGACAGGGGACTCTAGCAGCAGAGGGGCGGTAAGACAGGCGGGAGGCCCACATCATCGAGAAGATCCCCACCAACTTCAGATCAGGCCCCGGGCGCCAGCCTGACCTTCCACCCTGTATACAGATCAACATGGGACAGAGTCCTGTCCTGGGGCCCACAGAGAGCCAGGACAAGCTCCGCTCTGGACCAGGCATTCTTCGCTGCCAGAGTCAAAGCCTTGACCACTGTGCTCGGAACCGGGCTTCTCTTGAGCCTCAGCTCTCTGCCTACGCTCGGCCTAATCACAGCCCTGCCCCCGAGAGCTGCACGAAGCCCTGGGGGTAGGGGCCACCATGGGGCAGACAACACAACCTCCTATTGCTCTATAGCTCTCGTTTCTTTACAGAATAAGAGTTGTGGTGGGGACGAGAACAAGAACACGAAGGAGTCTTGGTACAGCAGAAGCTGCCTTCAGCACAGCACATCCGAAAGAAGCCGGCCTGTCACACAGGAGTCGCTGGCACTCACAAGGACGTGAGCCCTGTGTCGGGGAGGCAGCATGACTTGGGAGTGACCCAGGGAGTGCCTGCACCCCATGGGTGATGTTCTGCTTAATCTGCAGTGGGTGCAGCCAATATTTAACAACATTCAAACCACAGGCAATCAGAACTGTCCCTGGCTATACACGGTGGGCGCACCTGTCCCAGTCCAGAGCTCCTGATGATGAACTTGGATGTGAACTTTCACTGTGATCCTCCGTAAATTATGCACAGATTCTGTGCTCACTTATTTCTATGGAAAGGTTGAGTGACTGAATTCCTTAGCAGGGCAGCTTCAACCAGGCTGGGACTGGCAGCACCTGGTTTCTACTGGGGAAGCCAGCTCAGCCACAGATGGACACCCAGAAGTCGGGTTTAGCTCTGCATTCTTCCAGACTGGCCAGAGGCCACTCCAGAGAGGGGCCCACAGCCCTAGGCAAGTCCCTAGGCTCCTCACCTGCTCGCGTGCGGCTGTGGCCGGAAAATGGGGCACAAAGGAAAAAACCAGGAAGAATCCGTATCTAGTCACAGAAATAGCCCCCCGCAATCCTTGTGATCACCTGTTCTCCCGCCAAGGTTACCAATGCCTATCCTATCTTCTCACAGGCTCAGCACCCCAGTCCCCTTCTGGGGACTGCCAGTCCCCTGGGTCAGGAGGTGGAAGTAGGTGGGGACAGGGGACACATGGGTCAGCTGTGGCCCAAGACAGGTCCCAAGGCCCTGGCACCAGTAACTGCTTCTGGGAAGGGCAGGTTCCTCAAGTTGGAAGAGAGGAAATTATCTTTCCAGGGGCACAAGATCCTGCTCCCAAAGACATAGCTCAGAGACAGAGACCTGATAATTAAAATATTTTTTTTCCTCCTTTGGATTCAGCTAGACGTGGGAACCCAGAGCTTTCTTCTCTCCCTTCTGTTCCATCTAATTCTAGTGGGAATTTTTGCTGTTGCAAGCAAAGGAACCCATGTAACAAAGCGCAGGGACAGGCAGGAAGGGGCTCACCAGCAAACTTAATGGCCGTGATGGAGGAGGAGTGGTCATCCAGGGTCTGCTCCAGGTTGTAGTTCTTCTCCACGTTCAGCACGTGGATCAGGCGGTCCCGACTGGCCGAGGCCAGCAAGGTCAACCCTATGTGTGCAGAGGATGAACCTGGATTCCTGGAAGGCTGTTTGGATGCCTCAGGCTCCCAGAAAGCAGTGGGACACAGCATGTAGAGACAGGGTGAGGAGGAGGACAGCGGAGGAGGTGAGACACATCACGGACTTCTGGGAAGGGTCTGTGGGTACTCAATATAACACCCCTGCAGTTTTACTGTAGGCTGCAAATTTTTCCCAAGTAATGCCTAATAACTGCTCTACCTTCTCCAGGGCAGGAAGAGTCACTCACACACTCACCTCTTTGGTTTGGGCCCTGGTGGGGATGCTGGGACCAGCAGGGAGCAAGTCAAGCAGTCTTGCCTGCAGGTGTCTTGCTTCTGAGAGGCCCAGCCACTCTGGTTACACGGTCACATGGTCGGGAGACCTGGCCATCCTCCCTATTCCCACCGACACCAACTAGCCCTCCCTGTGGCTCCATCTCTCCCACACCCACCGCAGGCTCACCTGTCTCAGGCTTGGAGTACTCCAGGCATAGCACCTCAGCATCATGGGCCTCCACCTTCACCAGCTCATCCATGAAGTGCAGCTCGTGGATCCTGGAGACACACACTGCCCGCTGTTCCCTGCCTGGAGCCCCTCCCACAGCCCCAGGGGCTGCACCACCGCCACAAAAGGCTGAAACAACCAGGCAGGTAATATGGCAAATCCTATCACGGCCACCTGGCCCAGAGCCACCCAACAGCATCTTCTCACCTAGAAACCTGCCCTCCTAAAAGGGACTGTTGAGCCAGACGCCTGAGCAGGCACAGCCCCTTGGGGTTCATGGGCCAGAACATACCCCCAGCGACCTCAACAGTCCTATACAGTCTAGCAGGGCTGCAGCAGAGGTCTCTGGGGGCAGGGCAGAGGCCAGGGGTCAGAGGTCACAGTCAAGGATAGGACCTATGAATGAGAATGTTCCATTCTAGTCTCTCATTCTGAAGTCTCAAATCTAGACCTTCCTTATTCTTTCCAAATGGAATCAGTCAACAGGTCACCCAGCTCCCCCCACTCTCTATTTGCTACTTGCCTCACTAGTCTTGGTTAATTCATCTGGGAAAAAAAAAAAAAAAAAAAGTAGCTAATAACAGCGCTTCCTCCAGAGGGTCGGCCAGGATTAAAGCAGTGGAGGCAGCCAGTGCTCAGGCCAGTACTGGCCGAGGGAAAGAGCACGAGGCCCACGTGAGTCCTTGCTATCCTTTGGCCATTCCCAGCTGAGCCCCGTCAGCGAGAGCAGCCCACGGACACGGTCGGTTTGCCTCAGGCAGTAACCACTGTTTAACAATCACAGAATTTCACAGAAAAACACCAGCCCTGCACTCTGAGTTCTCTTGGGCAATGAGGAGACCTGAGGGCACAGAGCCCGCGCTCCTGGTGCCACGAGATGGCTGCCCCTTTACAGGTTCCCCCGTCTCTTCTGTCCCCCACAGCCCCAGCCCCTGGCATTTGTCACCTTCAACCTGCCCCTGTGACAGGGCTTATGTCACAGCCGGGGCCTTCAAACGTCCCACCCTCCCGGCCCTCTCTCAGGGTCCCGTCAGCTGGGGTTTTCACTGTCAGGTCAGCATCGGTGCCACGAGGTGGGTGAAGGGGCCGCTCTGCTCCGGCGTCCTGGGAGTCTGCACGCTGGAGGCCAAGTCTGCACAGCCCAGTTGCTGGACTCGCAGCCGTTACCTTCCCCTCAGCCTCTCTGGAAGCCCCTTGCCGGCTTACACTGCGGGGTGGCTGGTTGCTGCCTGCTGCACTCCCTCCTTCCCAGTGGGCACTGGAGGTGCCAAAGCCGGGGCTCCTCCCCGCTGCCCTGAGATCCCGAGCCAGAGCTGGGAGGCACACGCTAGACGCCGCCAAGGCCCACTTGCCTCAGATTTCCACTGCGGTCGCCTGAAGCCAAGTGCTGGCCATCAGGACTGACCTGCATGACGCGCACCCCGGCTTTCGCGTCCACGGGTGTCCCGCTCTCGCTGCCGCGGTCTGGGAAGTGTGACATGTCCTGCAGGTGCTGGATGTCGTTCTCCACGTACACTACCTTCAGAAGGGTCTGTGGGAAGGACAGGGCTCAGGTCAGTGCTGCAATCAAAGCCTCGCTGGGCCAGACCCTCATTCTTCAGCAGGACTGAAATTCACATTTCGAGCCAGAAGCTTTTACCAGTGTTTCCCAGCGTCCCTTGCAGCCAGAGGAAGTCCCATGAATATATTCTGGGCAATGAGACATGGCTCCAGCTTTGGCAGCCATACTGGATCATGAGAACAGGGCCATCTCTCAAGGACAGAGTGGAGGGCTGCAGGGCCACTGCGCCTCCAGGGGCTTCCTGACGCTGCACCTGCTTACCTTCCAACTACTTTTGTGAGTCAGAAATCCAAACTTGTACACCTTGTTGTGAGCTGTTCTGTTGTCTATAGCCAAATAGGACAAGTTTTTCACAAATGCAGGAGAGGATTCTAACACTGGATGGGGCGGGGGGCAGTGAAGGAGTGCCTGCTACACACGTACCGCTTTAAGGGCCTTTTTTGTTCCAGTGACACTGATCTCTTTCAGCTCTTCCAAATCTCAAGGTCTTTCCCACCACTGGGCCTCTGCACAGGTCATTCCCTGGGTGTGGAACTCTGCCCCTCCCAGTGCTCCGTGTCTCTCAGCTCAGTTCTCTCTTCTCAGACAAGATGCCCTGAGACTGTGAGATAGCCTACTGAGGCTGGGTGATTTCCAGGGTGTTTTATGGCACTTGTGATTACGCACAAACTGTACAGTTAGCAGTTCACTGTCTGCCTCCCCTACTAGACTGGGGGTGCCACAGGGCAGAAGAGCTTCTCCGAGGCCCTGCTGTGCCCCAGCTTGCAGCAAAGCGCCTGACACTGACCTTAACAGGATCTGCAGAACACAAGCACACACGATGCAGAGCCCAGCTCCCAGAGAAGCGCCCTCACTCCTCTAGCAGCGTAACCGAATTCCTTCAGCGCACTGTCCTGTTCCCAGCCTTCTTAGGATCCTCCCAGCACCCACCTGATGTCCCAGTGAGCAGCAGCTAGTTAGGCAACGTCCCTGGCTGGCTGGGCCCATCTCCTAGGGAGTTCTGACTCAAGACTTGGTGGGGCAATTTCATCCCTGTTGAGTGTCAGGCTGCCTGGAGGAGCCATGTCCACGGGAGAGAGGGGCTGGCTGACAGAGGGAATCAGGCAGACAGGCCATGTCACCTCAGATAGAAGCAGAGAGACAGAGAGACAGAGAGAAGAGGAAAGGACACAGCGAGTGCCCTGCCGTGGTCCCTGGCTCCTGTCCCCTCCGAAGCCTAGCTAGCACGTATGTTCCAGAAGGCTCCCTCCTGCCCTGTATCCTACTTAACGTACGTCTCTGTTCCCCTGAAAATACGCCTCTCGGGGAAGCCACTCACATTGCTGAAGATGTTTTTCTGCCAGTGAGAGTCACGGCAGTTATCCATGTTCCAGAAGCGGATGGTGTTGTCTGAGGAACAAGTCAGAAAAGATCCTGATGGCAAACAAGCTCTCTGATCTTCAAACTCAGGATACACCTGCAGTTCCCGGAGAACAAGGCAAAGGGCGATGCGTCACAATCAACTCAACGACAGGGCTGACACACTGCTGCACCTGCGTGGGAAACAAAAAAGTGAGTGAAAGAAAAACAGGAATACCGCACTACCTTCTGTGACAAAAATAAACAAGACGAAAATACGTAAAGTGCTACCACCCACATCCCACCCTCGGCCCAGGCCTTTAAACATCTCCACAAACTCCCAAGGAAAATGAACAGCTCAGGCAGAAATCACTAAGCCCAGAAGGAAAAAACGTAGTGGGAACAAGAAGTAACAGATCCACAGCTTAGCAGATGTCGAATACTGGACTTAACAGATAGAATATTAAGATAACCATGTTCAACATATTTGAAGAGACTGCAAATTGTGAAAGCCTGGGGCCGCCTGGGCAGATGCCGACGGCAGCACAGACTTTTAAAGAGCAACCAGAAAAAATCAAAACTCTACAGATAACATTCACAGTAAAAGTAGGTGACAAGACTCTCTCTACGACCCTCAAAATACAAGCAGGTAGGGACAAACTACCCCAAGCCACAAGAGCTGCACATCGCCTACATGTATGTGGGAGACAAAGCACAGACAATGAGGCATCTGATAGATCCAAGAAGAGATAACTGCTAGTAGTCAACAGCTACTCACGGGCAAGCGCCCTGGCCCCAAGTGAACGGCAGCTGGAACTGGGGGGCTGTTGTACTCACCGGCTCCCCCCGCGCTTGACTGAGGGCTCAGGTAAGGCATAAAGGGGCCAGAGCAACCTTGGCCTCTGAACTCTCGGAATCCACCTGACAGGGACCCCTGCCAGGACAAAGCCTCACACTGAAGAGAGACTTCTGGAAGTAGAAACCAAAGTGATCAGGATAGAAACAAGAGACAAAGTAAAGAGGAGATCCAGATAAAAGTAGAGACACAACAAAAAATAGGAACATAAAAAAAGAAATACCAGAAAGCAAGCTCCCTCTGCTTTTCAAATAGGAGACAAGTGGTGTTGCTGAAAATGGCAGAGTAGGAAAACCCACAGAACTCTCTCCACTCAAGCAGCTGGCAAAAACCGGTCAGAATCAACATATTCAGAATTCTTGGACCTAACAAAGAACTTAACCAGGGGAGTGCTTAATGAAAAAGACATTGCTAAAATTTGGCACTTAAGAAAATCCATTAAACTGTGAATGTAATAGGGACTTCAGGTACAACATATGACAGAGTACAGTCCTTGCAAAAAATACTTCAGAAAACGCACCAAACCACAAATAACTCACGACCATTAGCAAAAACAAACCCTGAGGAAGGGGAAGAATCTGATTTTCAGAATTATCACACTCAGATCTGGAATGGCCAGTATTCAACAAAAATTATGAGGCATCAAAAGGAAAGTATGGTCTACTGATAGAAAAAAAAATGAGGGGCTAATGTGGCACATGGGTGCAGGGGCACTTGGACCATCCTCAGCTGCTTTCCCAGGCACATTAGCAGGGAGCTGGATTGAAGGTGGAACAACCAGGACACAAACCAGTGCCCATATGGGATGCCAGCACAGCAGACAGCAGCTTTACTCACTACGCCACCGTGCCAGCCCTTATATTTTTATATTTATTTGAAAAGCAGACAATAGACAGATCTCCAATCTGCTGGTTCACTCCTCAAAGACCTGCAGCAGGTGGGCCTGGGCCAGGCTGAAGCCATGAGCCCAGAGCCCAATCTGGGTCTCTGAAGTGGGCGGAAAGGACCCAAGTGTTTGAACCATCACCTGATGCCTGCTAGGGTGAGCATTAGCAGGAAGCTGGAATCAAGAGGCGGAGTTGAGGGGCTAGCGCTTGTGGTGTAGCAGGTAAAGCCGCCGCCTGCAGTGCTGGCATCCCATGTGGGCACTGGTTTAAGTCCTGGCTGCTCCACTTCCCATTCAGCTCTCTGCTGTGGCCCGGGAAGGTAGTGGAGGATGGCCCAAGTGCTTGGGCCCTGCACCCCATGGGAGACCAGGAGAAGCACCTGGCTCCTGCCTTTGGATCAGCGTGGTGCGCCGGCCGCAGCATGCCAGCCGTGGTGGCCATTGAAGGGTGAACCAACGGCAAAAGGAAGACCTTTCTCTCTGTCTCTCTCTCTCACTATCCACTCTGCCTGTCCCCCGCCTCCAAAAAAAATTGTGAGAACATGTATAAAAATGCTTTAATATTTTCCAGAATTGAGGATAGCTCAAGTGCTTGGGCCCCTGCATCCGCATGGGAGACCAGGAGGAAGTACCTGTTTTCTGGCTTCAGATCGGTGCAGCGCCAGCTGTGGCGGCCATTAGGGGAGTCAACCAATGGAAGGAAGACCTTTCTGTCTCTCTTTCACTGTCTATAACTCTCTCTCTCTCTCACTGTCTAACTCTGCCTGACCAAAAAAAAAAATTTTTTTTTCCAGAATTGAGTAATTGTCATTCTTAGATGTTTTATGTATAACATCAGAAACAGCAAAGTAACCAAGGTTATTCTAATTCCACCATAGTGTCCTTGAGAACTAGAATTCTGGAAGGATTAATCTAATAGCTATAAGCATCCCTGGAATCCAAACTATGATTCTGAAAAACTCATTTATGTTAAAAAAATTGTTTTCAAGAAATGGCTGATTCCAGGTCTGGGACAGGAAATGTGCAAGACAAGGCTTAAACATCTTGTACTCCCAGACAGGGACGTAGGTGTCAAAGACTAGAGGGTCACGTTCAAAGGTCTCAGGCTCAATGTGAAGAGGTTCCCGTTGGCCAAATGGGACAGTTTTAGCTCCAATGTTAATCACTGCACTGGATTAAAATATACCCAATATATTTCAATGAGTTCACAATAGTAAATAAAATAACTAGTTATGTTCAGAAGATAGAGAATCAATTTATTATCTTGAGAACTGGTAAATTAAAGAACCAAACATTTACCCTGCCTTTCCAATGAAGTATGACTCTGGGTGATCAAATCGTGGGAGGAGGGGGAATGTCTCTTCATGTAAGCAGTCCAGCTAATATCAGTAGTCCAACAGAGACATGACAGGATTACAGTATGACCGCATTACAACCCCCACTGAATACACGGAGCTAGTCATTTGAGCATCAACAGTTGCTAATACTAACTGATAAACTATACCTAACTTCTGTGTGGTCCTCGTGATCTGTTTTATTTATTTATTTTTAAAAATATTTTAATTAATTAATTAATTTTTTATTTGACAGGTAGAGTTATAGACAGTGAGAAAGAGACAGAGAGAAAGGTCTTCCTTCCGTTGGTTCACTCCCCTAATGGCCGCCATGGCCGGCGCTGCAACGATCCAAAGCCAGGAGCCGGGTGCTTCCTCCCGGTCCCCCATGCGGGTGCAGGGACCCAAGCACTTGGGCCATCCTCCACTGTCCTCCCAGGCCACAGCAGAGAGCTGGACTGGAAGAGGAGCAGCCGGGACTAGTACCCGGCGCCCCAACTGGGACTAGAACTGGGGGTGCTGGCGCCGCAGGCAGAGGATTAGCCAAGTGAGCCACCGCACCGGCCAGATCTGTTTTATTTTTAAAAATATGACAGAGTTATGAGGAGAGAGAATAGGGTAGAAACAAATTCTTAAATTGGTACTGGCCTAGAATTTTCTAGAACTGATGATAAAATTCACCCATAAATATTTCATTGAGGAAATACGTATGTGTACATATAAATAATTATAGATACAAAGAAAATGAACTGCAAGAACAAATAATAAACTGATAATGATGGGTAAGGGTGAGAGGGAATGCAACTGGGGGCTGGGAAGGATCAACAGACTTTTAGCCTTACTTGTAATATTCCGCCTTTTCCCAAATTAAAAATTAAATGTACATTTTATATATTAATTTTAAGTTATTAACTTTTTTTTTTTGCTAAGTGGAAAAAGTGCCATCAACAAAAACATCAGACCCATGAGGGCGGATGAATTCAGCAGAGTCCCAGGGTTGAAAAATGCCCACTCACAAGGACCAAATTCTTTCTCACCATCCTGAATTGGGCCACAGGAAACATAATTTCTTTAGAATAAGCATTTCCAGTAGGAAGAAATTTTCAGCAAAAATAAAAATGAATGAGTAGAATACAATTCTTTCTCTATCATTTGTCTCACAGCGCGTCACTCCCTCCCTCCCTCCCTCCCGGCAGGTCTGTGCTCAAAGGCCAATGCCGAGGCAGCCCCTGGGTCCTCCCCTTCCAGGAGGCAGCCCGCTCTCCCTTGCCCCTTCCCCGCTTCACCGACGTTTTGCTACTTGGTGTGACACACGCTGGTGGTGTTTCATGTTTATTCTTCTACCCAGCGTGAACTCCATGAGGGCATGACTTTTTAGAAACTGGTTTCCTTCTCAGCTTTGTCTCCCCAGCACTCAGAGCATGGACTGCCACAGGTAGGGGTCAATCACTTATCTTTTTTTTTTCTTTAAATTTTAACTATGGTTCTATTTCACTTGTGTTTAGTCATTCACAATTCTGATTCTTCCTAGTTGTTTTTTTTTTTTTTTTTAAAGATTTATTTGAAAGGCAGTTACAGAGAAAGAGAGAGAGAGAGAGAGATCTTCCATTTGCTGGGTCATTCCTCAAATGGCCACAACGGCTAAGGCTGCCCAGGCTAAAGCCAGGAGCCAGGAACTCCGTCCTGGTCTCTCATGTGAATGGTAAGGGCCAAGTACTTGGGCATCTTCTACTGCTTTCCCAGGCACATCGACAGGGAGCTGGATTGGAAGTGGACCGGACTTGAACAAATGCCCAAACGGAATGCTGGCGTCGCAGGCCAGTGGCTTAACCTGCTGTGCCACATCAGCCTCAGTGAGTACGTTTTGAAAGAGCAGCTGAATGGGCTGCTTAAACCCTGCAGAAGCTTCTTCTGGCTGGGTCCCCACACGGGGGCTGAGCAGAGCGGGCAGAGGGAGCGAGAGAGGGGCTCACCTCCACATTCCAAACGTAGGAGCTATGGAAGAGCTCTGACCACAACTTGCCCACTTTGTTGATATCCTTGACATCCCAGACATAGATGCTGTGGTCCTTATAAATGCAGGACAGCCGCTGGTGCACGGGATCAAACGTCAGTGCCACTGTATCTGGATAGACGGCTTCCGCCTTCCTGCGGAAGAGGAAGCTAACAAGGCCACACGGGTCGTCAATCACCATCAGTGTCACCCTAACTAGTGCCAGCCACCTCTGGTGCCACTGCGGCCGCCTCCTGCCTGGCAATGCCACCTCTCGTGGTATCTGTGGCTAAACATCTCTTCGACTCCAACCCTACTTCCTCCTGCCCTCTCCTTCGCTTTGTTTCTAACACAGGCTGCCAACTGGAAGCTTCTACATGGCCCCTATTTTGAGGTTTTCACTTCCATTCACATTTCTCTCCTCTCATTCCATCCAAGTGCCTGTCCTCTCTGAGCACAGAACAGGCAGGCAGCTCGGGCCTCTTCTCTCCTTGGCCTCATCAACACATGATCGGAACCTCTGTATAAGGCGTGAGGCCTCCCTACAAGGCTAGCTTATGGAGCACCGACTGCATGCCAGGCTGAGTTTCAGCTGCACTGAATTCTCACAACCACCCCGAGAGGCAGGTAATCAATGTTACAGATGAGAAAACTGCAGTACAGGGGGCGCAGCCACCTGGCTACCGCAACACACCTCTGGCTGCGGGTAGCTCCCCACCCTCTTTCCTTCCAACACCCAGACCCCTCCACGCTCTTGGAAAGGCACCCGCGAGCTAGTGTCTGACTATGTACAAAGAGGCAGCACCCAGCACCCCTTCTATTAAACAGTCTTACAACAAACAGGAAGTTAAGCCACAGCTCAGCCCTTCCATCCAGTCTCAACCCAGCAGCACAGGCTGGTCACGCCCCAGACTAGAGGACCAGTTCCTTCCATCCATCCTTGCACCTCATCTCCTACCATCCTCCCCTGCACACTGGCAGATTCTAGATGGCCCCTCCCTGCCCCCTCTCCCTTCCCTGCTGGGCAGTACCTAGGCTCCAGGCCCAGTGCCACATCTACCCCAAGGTAGTGTGGCTTGGGCAGGTTGGCGAGGTAATGCAGGCTGTGGGCCTCGAAGATGCGGACTATCCCATCTGTGCAGCCGCAGAAGATGAGCTCCTGGCTGACGCAGAGGCAGGAGGACAGGGAGACCTGTGGGGACAAAGGAGACGCCAGTGAACCTCATGCTTCATATGGCCTGGCCCAGGAGCACAGGGACTGACAGAGCAGCCCTGGGCTCCAGAGAAGACTTCTGCTTCCTTGGAGCTAAGACACTCATCTCGGCACCTTTTAAGATTTTTGGTCAGGATGTAACACGTGGTCACTATTGAAGGAAACCTGCCGATGGGCAGAGAGGCACCGGCTGGAACAGAGTTCTCACTGCTGTCTTCAGAGCAACTTAAGCTGTGAGTGGAAAGCACCCCTTCATGTAGGCCACCTCCAGTGACAAGGCTCAACTTTAGGCTTACATTTTATTTCCTGTTGTTTAGAAACAACTTCGGAACAGGCACACTCCTGCACAGCACAGAAAATACTTAGAGGATATGGAAGGATTGTTCTGTCCCAACAGGATATGCAGATAAAAGATGCAGGAAGAGCCAGACCTCTGCACTCAATTTTTTTCCCCCAAATTTAAAGCAAGGAATTCATTTATAAGTTATCTGGTGCTCAGACACTAAACACCTGTTTGTAAAAGCGTCTGACTTGCTTAAAAGCTGCCTAAGTTTTGGTAAGAGGATTAAAATGAGAAAAACATAAAATATTTAGGAAAGACAGAGAAAACCTGGAATTCTTTTGCATGCCATTAGCCCTGCAGGTGACCTCTGGAGGTCTGAGTTACGAGAGCAAGCTGGGAAGCGGAATGAAACCACAATGCTCCCGCCGGCAGCCACACAGACAACCGAGCTTGGAATGCAGACAGCGCGGCCTCACCAAACCATCAGAGCTGCAACTCATTGATATACTATCCTTCAGTTTAATTTTCATGTGTTTTGTGTAGCATTTTGGACCAGAAAGTGATGAACTCAGTGGTACCTTAGATTTGCAAAAAGGGAAACACAGCCCTCTCCACAGCCAAGAGGCTCAGTGAAGACGAGGTCCGGCCCTGTGCTAGGCGCCTCACTCACGTTATTTCCTGAGACTCCCTTATCAACTCTGCGAGGAAGGCAGTATCCCCACTTTACGGATGGGGAAACCGAGGCTCAGAGAGGAAGAGTTGGTCACCCAGAGTCACACAAGCAGAACTCGCGAGGTCAACTCGTGAGCAGCAGGGGGAGAGGGAGCATCGCTGAAGACCCACACGGGCAAAGAGCACGGCCCCCGGCGATGGCAGGGAGGGACCGGGGTACCTTCAGATTGATCCACTTCTCCAGCACCCTCTTCTCGTTGAACTGGCAGAGCAGGCCCGAGTAGGACACACAGAAGGTACTGCCTGCCACCTGGCCCCGGCCACACGCCACGCCACAGAAGATATTGTTGTGAAGTTCGCCCAGGATGCCCGAGCGCCCTACGAGGGGCACTGTACCTGTCACCTGGAGGCATAGCAGAACAAGTGAGAGACCGGCCCCACAGCCTAGCCCCCAGTACACCACGATGGGCCCCGGGGACCAGAAAGCACAACAGGACTCTATAGTTCAAGCACACTCTGGACAGAAGGGTTGGAAAGCGCCAATCCAAGAATGAGGTCTGGTCCCAGGGCCAGGATCGAAGCAGGGTCTGCCAGGCAGAGGCCCAGAAATAGAATTTGGACCCCTGAGAGGCCTGGTGACCTCCGAGACCACTGCCACCAAATCTCAGGTAGAGACGGGGCCCATGCCACAGCCGCTGGCGACCTCCCAAGGGCCTGGCTAAGGTGGCGGGGACTGGAATTCACCTTTGCTTCCGTGGAGACGTCCAAGAACCAGAACCTCACGTGCCGGTTCCCAACAGTGACAAAATAGCTGCTATCTTCAGAGAAGGACAGGGCGATGACCCTGCACGACACCTTGTTGGAGGCCACCACGATGTCTTTCTGGAAGATTCAGTGCAGAGAAGCTCATGGCAACACCCACCCGTTATGCTATTTGTAGCTTTGTGGCCCTGGGTCTCCCTGCACCCCCCTATTCCATCTGCTTTCCTTGGACCCCACGAGCTGTTCACGGGAAAGCTGTATGTGACTCTCATTCCTAACCTCCAGAAGGGAGGCATCTGCTAGTGCTGACTCCAGGTCCTCTGCCCGCTCCCCAGACTGCCCTCAAGCCCAGTCTTCCAGGACATTTCAGTTTGCTGAAGTCTAAACTCAATTGGGTGAATGCTACCACAGATGAGAAACAGCCTCACAGACAGGTTAAGACCTTTGCTACAGGTCACAGCAGGTGAGTACAAGCATAATTCTAGAATTCCTCTAGCTGAGAGCTTATGGTGTGTCCTACAATAAGGGACCAGCATGTAGCAGCTACTTAATAAACACCTGCTGGCTGAATGCGCACTTCACCAAGTCTATCACTGACTTCTCCCAATGCCTGAGACTCGATTTGCTCTCAACGGGCTGCCTGCCCACAACGCCTGCTGGCTGGCTCTCACCTTCCAGTCCCAGACGTTGAGTACCATGTCGTGCTGGTATCCCATGGACACGATGTGCTTCATATTGGGTGAGAAGGCCACACAGGCCACGCCATACTTGTGGCCCAGCATCTCCGCCACCTGACTTTTCTCCTCCACGTCCCAGATGCGCACCGCTGGCCTGTGCCCATTCTGGGGAAGGTGGAGCCATTACTGCTGGGCTCTGTACCAGGGAGGGCTACAGGGGCTGTCAGGGCTGAAACAGGCATCACCACAGGGTGTGCCCCAAAACCACCATCCCCATGTGTCCCAGGGGCTAACGCAGTGACTGCCAGCCCTGCTGGGAGCAGGAGTGGCTCGGAACCTTACCCCCTGCTCAATCACGATCGTGACTCACCTCTCCTGTCACTATGTACTTCCCATCAGGAGAGAAGGCCAGAGCGCTCAGGGACTTCCTGGGGACAAGGAAGAGAGCTGTTTACTGGGTTCTGCTGAGGCTGTGCGGCCTGGGCCCAGCCTGGCTCTGCCCACTCCTGACTCCTAAGCCTTGAAGGGGGCCAGGAGAGGTGATGAGAACAATTCCCATAGGGCCAGCGCCACCTGTTGTGTCCAGCCCAGCACGTGGGAAAAACGGGAGTGGAAGCAAAGGCCCCTTCCTCCCTAAAACTCCAAACCCAAATGGGGTGAACAATGCATAGGAAAGCTTTCTTCTGCCTCCGCGAGGGTGGGCTCCCTAATACCCACCCTCCCTGTAACCCTGAGAAATGCAAGCGCAGGTGATTTAGGTAGGCGATGGCCTCACTGAAGGGGTAGTGCTGGTGGAGGACCCTGGCAGACAGCAGCCGGCTTGCAGCATGTGCTCCAGGACTAAACGCTCCAGGTGTTTGGAAAGCCCAAAACCAACCAAAACCTTTCTCTCCCACTTGTAGCTAGCCTGTGGAAGGACCGAATGACCGGACACACCAGCCTGCACGTTGTTTGGAAACAAGATTCACTGCTCCCTGTGAATAGTAGTTTTGTTTTCTCTCCTTTCTCTTTTAATTTCCTATTCCTGTGTTATTTAACAGTCTACTAACTCAGTTGACTTCCCTCGCCTGAGTCAGTAACCTGGAACGCAGGTGACTATGAAAATACCTCTGGGGTCAGCTCTGTGGCTCGGCAGGTTAAACTGCCGCTTGCGACACTGGCATCCTCTATCAGACTGCTGGTTCGAGTCCTGATTGTTCTGCTGCTGAGCCGGCTCCCTGCTCTGCCAGCCACATGGGAGACCCCAACGGAGTTCCTGGCTCCCGGCTTCAGCCTGGCCCAGCTGCCCACCTCTAGATTCCTTATATGTGGGAACAGCATGCCCTTGTGTGCAGAGCCATGCGCACTGTCACCTGCAGCCACCCCGGCCTGTGCGTGTCCCGTCCCCAGATGTTCCGTGGGCATCACTGCAGGTGAGGACTCTCGTCAGCCAGTTTCGCTGGTGAGAATACCTCAACCCAGGGAAGTCTGCCCCAGGGTTTCTCCTGCAGCGGGGTGGAGCCCAAGCCGCTCGGCCAATAGTTCTTAGTCCTGGCCACACGTGAGAATCCCTGGAAGAGCTTTTTTTTTTAAAAGGTTATTCATTTTCACTTATCTGAAAGGTAGACTGACGGAGATACAGAGATAGAGGGAGATCTCCCATCCACTAATTCATTCCCCAAATGCCCACAGCAGCTGGCCAGGAAGTCCATGTCAGTCTCCCACACTTGACCCCAACACCTGAATCACACGTGCTATCTCCCAGGCACATTAGCAGGAAACTAACAGGAACAAACAGGAAGCAGAGGTGGGGCTCAAACTTTGGCACTACAGCTGCTTAACCCGCTGTGCCAATGCCCACCCTGCTGCGAAGCTTTTTTTTTTTTTTTTTAAGAGTTACATAGTAAGAAAGGAAGAGAAAGAGAGAATCTTCCATCGGCTGGTTCAGTCCCCAAGTGGCTGCACTGACCAGGCCTGGACCAGGCCAAAGCAAGATGACAGGAACTCGGTCCTAGCACTTGGGCCATCTTTGCTGCTTCCCAGGTGCGTTAGCAGGGAGCTGGACTGGAAGCAGAGCAGCCAGGACTCTGGTGTCGCAGGCAGCAGCTTGACCTGCTGTGCTACAAATGCGGCCCCTACCCTACTGTGCTAAAGAAACAGGATGCCACCTGTGAGGCTCGCTGGAGACGCCCCCAGGATGCCTGCTAATCACGATGCCGACAGGAGGCTCTGCCGTGGGGAGTCTAGCAGGTGCCACCTGAACCACGGGCTCCAAGGGGACATGGGACTGGATGAAGACGTCCTGAAAGGGGGCACCGACAGGCACGTGGTGCTTTTGAGGCTCTCTTATCAAAGACGGAGACCCTGAAACTACCCATGAGAAACATCAGATGAACCCAAATGCTGGCACATTCTACAGAATACCTATTCTGAAACTCAAGGACAGACAGGAGCTGCTTCAGCCTGCGGAGACTGAGCACAGACGTGCATGCGATGAGTGATCCTGGACAGAATCCTCTGGCTCTGAGGGGCACCTGGGACAAATGGTGAAATGTGCATGGAGTCCCCTGAGGAGTACACATCTGACAGCGATGTGCTGGTGTGGATCTCCAGGTTTTCCTGGAGGTACTACGGTTTTGAAGCATTATGTCGTTTTTCGTACGACATACACCGTGAAGTATTTGAGATATAAGGCTAGTAACTACTTCCAGATCATTGAGAAAAAATTAGTATGCATATGCACAGAGAATGATAAAAAAATATGGTAAAATGTTACCATTTGGGAGCTATGGGCAAAAGGCATACAGGTTCTTTATGCTATTCTTGTAAGTCACAATAATTTTGTTAATGACAACTATCACCCAGAGCAACCGACTCGGCCTTCCCTGGGTGTGGCCCAGGGATGAGGTGACTCTGATCTGCAGTCAGGGTGAAATCCCTCTCACTGGCCACGCCAGCTCCTAAGACAGGCCCTGGGGCTCAGGGTGGACGCCTCCGTGCCAGTCACTCTCCCCCTCACTATTTCAGGTCTCGGACATGGGAGGCGTTCCCTGAGCCCCCTGCTGAGGCTCTCCTCCACTCACTGCCTGCACACTGGCCTCACCACGTCCCCACGTGCCCTCCACAGCACTGCTCATGACAACCAGCAATCTGCTGACCGGTTTACAGTCTGTCTCCCTCACGGGGCTCTCCGCTCCAGGAAGCAGAGTTGCATCTCTTTTGCTCACCGCTGGGTCCCCGGCACCCGGAAGAGCACCCAGCACTGGTGAGCGCCGCTGAACCATGAGTGAATGCATGAGTCAGCTATGTGAGAGCACGTCCAGGCTCTGCCGGGCGGGACGGTCCCACCCCTGCCCCGTGCCCAGGCCCCAGCCTACCTGGCGGTGTTCAAGATATGCTGCTGCTTGTTCTCCTTAGGGTTCAAAATCACTACCACACAGCTGAGGAGAGAGGAAGAGGTGCATGGATTGCAGAGAGCACTGGGCTCCAGGCCTGCTTCTGGTGCCGCACACGAATAAGGCCACCTCTGAAAACAAGACTCTCTCTGACCCACCCCCCAACAGTGTTTACAATAATTCTAGGGCCCTGTTTTTTAATTTTTAAAGATTGTTATTTCAAAGGCAGAAAAACAGATCTTCTATCCATTGATTCACTCCCCAAACACCTGCAACAGCCAGGGTTGGGCCAGGCCAAAGCTAGGAACTCTGTTCCAGGCTTCTACGTGGGTGGCAGGGACCCAAGAACTTAAGTGATCATCTACTGCCTCCCAAGGTACACATTACTGGGAAACTGGACTGGAAGCAGAGGTGCAAGGCCTTGAATCCGGCACGCAACGTGGGATGCAGGTGTCTCAAGAGGTGACTCAACCGGGGCCAGACACCTTCCCAAGCATTATTACTATCCCTGCCGGGGAACAGGATGTCCCTTTGGTGTTTAGAACAGCGCCAGGCAAGATCAGTATTTGCAGGGCTGGTTCTGTGGTATAGAGGGTAAAGGTGCTGCCTACAGTGCTGGCATCCCATATGGGAACTGGCTCGAGACCCGGCTGCTCCACTTCCAATCCAGCTCTCTGCTGTGGCCTAGGAAGCAGTAGAAGATAGCCCAAGTCCTTGGGCCCCTGTACCCACATGGGAGACCTGGTAGAAGCTCCTGGCTCCTGGCTTCAAATAGACTCAGCTCTGGCTGTTAGCCATCTGGGGAGTGAACCAGCAGATGGAAGACCTCTCTCTCTTTGCCTCTGCCTCTCTGTAGCTCTGCCTTTCAACTAAATGGATAAATCTTTAAAAAAAAAAAAAAAGGATTATCAGTTTTTGTAAACAAAACACTGCAGGACCTCCTTCAGTCCTGTCAACTACCCACGCAGAGGGTGCCACTACGTCTGCAGTACAGGAGTAGAAGCAGAGGCTCAGGGGGACACGCACAAAGAGCTGGGACACAAACCCAGGTAACCCAACAGCACAAGGCACCTTCCCAGCACCAGCCCCTCTGCCACCTCCCTCCAGTGGGCACCAGCAAGGCTCTCACAGCACTCACAGAACGTTCTAGGTGCTAATGGGCCCACGGGACACTCTCCACAGTGCTCAGAACTAGGCAGCATGATCCGCATTCCGTATGGGAAGGCCGAGGCCCAGAGAATCACGGATGACTCCAGGCTCCAAACTCCCTAGGAATGATTAGACGTCCACCTCTTCCCTGCCCCCGTCTCCCCTTTCACTCACCCTGCTAGGTAGGCAACGTGGCCTGTGCCAGGGTCACAGGTGAGGCCACTGCTGTTCTGGGCTGTGATGCCAAGGACCTTCTCAAGAGACACCTGCAAAGAGAAGGCCCGAGTGAGAAGCACCTTTAATGGTTCATAAGCATGATGACGGTTCATACACAGAGGTGTGCCTTCTTCAATGCTTGTTACAACGTTAGCACATTGGAAAGAACATTTTTTTAAAAATTCTCAAAGTTAAATGGGCCAGACCTTGTCATGCTTAACAATTTATTTAATTAATTTATTTAAAAAATTTTAAAATATATTTTTCATTTTATCTGAAAGGCAGAGAGAAATCTTCCATGTGCTGGTTTGTTCCCCAAATGTCTGTAATAGCAGGGGATGCACCAGGCCAAAAGCGGGAGCCCAGAACTCAATCCGGGTCTCCCATATCAGTGCAGGGATCCAAGCACTCAAGCCATTACCTGCTGCAGCAGCAGGAAGCTGGATCAGACGTGGAAAAGCCGCCACTCTGATATGGGATGGAGGCACCCCAAGAGAGACTAAACCTCTCTGCCAAAGGCCTGCTCCACACCAAACTCAACTGAGTATGGACTGATAGCATCGTGGCATTTTCATAATTTGAGTAATTATTATTCTCAACCATGTACTTGACCTTATAATTCAAGAGCAAACACAGGATAATAATAAGTAGTGTTTATTGATCTAAGCACTCTTCAATTACCTCTAGCTGTATAAACTTGTTCAGTGCTCACAACAGCCCTCTGATATAGTCACTGTCATCAGCATCAACCCCATCTTACAGATGAGGAGACAGAGGCCAGAAAGGAGACGTGCGGGGCCAGCCCTGTGATAGAGTGGGTAAAAAAGCTGCCGCCTGCAGTGCTGGCATCCCATATGGGCACTGGTTCAAGTCCCAGCTGCTCCATTTCCAATCCAGCTCCCTGCTAATGTGCCTGGGAGAGCAGCAGAAGAGGACCCAAGTCTTTGGGCCCCTGCACCCACATGGGAGCCCCGGAAGAAGCTCGAGGCTCCTGGCTTCCGATCAGCGCAGCCCCGGCTGTTGCGGCCACTTGGGGAGTGAACCAGAGGATGGAAGACCTCTTTCTCTCTGCCTCTGCCTCTCTCTAACTCTGCCTTTCAAATAATCTTTTTTTTTTTTTTTTTTAAGAAAGGCAAGGTGCCAGGATTCTAAGACAGAAAACCAAGCGATGGCGCTGTGTTGTTTGTTCTGCCCATCAGTTTTACTAAGCATTAGTATCACTGGCCATTTTCAGACCAGGTTTTTTGCAAGCCAGATGCTCTCTGTGCAGCCAAACAAGGAAAATACACAAATGATATTACTCAAAAATACAATAATAGGAGGACTGGTGCAGTTGTGTAGTGGGTAAAGCTGCTATCTGCAGTGCCGGCATCCCATATGGGCACCGGTTCGAGTCCAGGCTGCTCCACTTCCCATCCAGCTCTCTGCTAATGCGCCTAGTGCTTGGGCTCCTGCCCCAACATGGGAGACCTGGAAGAAGCTCCTGGCTCCTGGCTTTGGCCTGGCCTAACCCTGCCTGTTGCCACCATTTGGAGAGTGAACCAGCAAATGGAAGATATCTCTCTCTCTTTCTCTCTCTGTTTCCCCCTCTTTCTCTGTGTAACTCTTTCAAACAAGTAAATCTTTTTTAAAAAACTAGAACAGTAACAGTATTAGCCAGCACTAACAGAGTGCTAGCAATAGGCCACACGTTGTTCTGGTGCTCAGGCTACGTGAGCTTATTTAATCCCAAACAACTCGAGGAGAGCTTGGCATCACTGCTCTGTCTTTACAAGTGAGGACATCAGGACAGATCGCAGCTTGCTGGGAGGAGCAGCACTGCGGCTCACGCTCGCGCAGTCTGGGCCGGGGCTGTGCTCTGAACCACCTTGCCACACCTCTCCCCGAATCTGCTACTGCCGATCGCCAGCACACACAGCTTTACAGCCCAAGGCACCCTCAGGTACGCACAGCTAGGGCCCTGAAGGCAGGGTCCTGGGCGAGAGACTGAGGTGGTTGTCTGCTTTAGACGGGCGTTCAGGAGGCCTCTCAGGCGGAGGCCCGAGGGATGGCAAGGAGCCAGCCCGGCAGGCGGCAACAGAAGACCAGTGAGAGGGCTCAGAAAACACTAAGGCCAGGGGGAGGAGAACGACTGGGAGCCTCGGGAAAAAAAAGAGTAGGCCAGGGTGCCGGATCCCTGGCGAGGCGAGGGCATTCTCATAGAAGTACAGCCAGAAGGGGGGACAGCGCGATACAATCAGAGGGCAGAGGAAAGCGGCAACAAGACCCCCCAGCAGCCACCGCACATCCATCCACACCTTTTGTCTGGACTCTGTGCCGACAAGGTCAGAGTCCCAAGTTCATCTCCCTGCTGTCACCATTTTATATATATAAAATGTTTATATATATATATTATATATATATATATACACACACACACACACACAGCCTTTGTGCCCAGGGAGCGCAATTTTGAAAAGCATGCCCGCGCACCCGGAATCCCTTCCACCTATTCTCCAATCATTGGCTGCCACGGTTCTGCGCCCCCCGGCAGCGCTGCTGAGAGTTCACAGCGACTCCCACCCTCGCCACAGTCCCACTTGGGCGAAGGAAGAAAGACAAGGCAGAGCGGACCCGAGGAAGAGACGGGACCTAGCGAAGGACCCTCAAGACACAGCGGGCTGAAGCCAACAGAAGTGGAAGCGCCCAGGGAGACCTCTGACGCACACCGAGGCGAGGCTGGGCGGTGATCGGCGGCGGCAGAGCGCATTCGGAGCGGGTGGAACCCGGGCAGAACCCCGGGAGCGCTCCGCCGCGGGGTGCGGAGCCCGGAGTGATGGACAGCCACCCGAGCGCAGACGGGCAGGTGGGAGGAGCACGGCGACGGGGCGGGGCCTGCGGCCACCTGAGGGGACGGCCCAGGGAAGCCCAGGACTGGGGTAGGCAGGGCGCGCGGCTCCTCACCCGGTTTTGCACGGTGTCCTCGGGCGCCGCCGACAGTCGCGTCCGCCGCCGGAGGCAGAGCGCTGGGGCCGGGGGCGGAGAGGACTGGCCCTTCCGCGCCGGAACTCCCGCCATGACAGATGGCAGCTTCTCGACTGCATCGTTCCGCGCGTAGCCTCCGGGCCCTAAGGCCGCCATCGTCGCGCCGGAGACCGGCGGCCGTTAAACCTCCCAACCGCCGGAGCCGCCACGACCCGCTCGAATAGCGAATGGCCGCGGGAAAGCCAGCGCCGCTGCCCATTGGTCGCGGCGGGCCGCCCTCCTGGCCAATCTCAGGGCTGCCGGGCGGCGCTCTTGACCAATGGGGGCCGAGAGGCGGAGCGGGGAGTCTGGCAGGGCGGAGCCACGTAGTGCTGGCTCGGGGTCTTGGTGTTTTTCATCCAGTCTGCGTTTTCATCATTCACTGGGACGCACGGGTTTTAACTTCCACAAGACTCAGGCTATAGCCTCCTCGTCTCGCCTTTTCTGGCCACCCAGGACGACTGTTCGCGCTGGAGCAGTCTCCCGGATGTACGCGCAGAGTGGAGCCGAAAGACTGACGGGCCCGTGGGTTAGGAGGGCGCATGCTCAGAACCGTCGTGACGCCGCTGCTCCCGCACCACGTGACCAAGGTTAGGGCGGCGAAGAGCGGCTCTGTGCAGAAGCCTTCGCGGGGTCCCATTCGCCTCGTGACAAGGGCGTAACTGTGGTAACGCGGAGGCGCGCCTAGCACGCCGGCGTCTTCCCTGGTCCCCCGTCACGTGACGGGACACCAAGGCGGTCACGTGAGGCAGGCGCAGAGCGCGCGGGCGGGGCCCGGCCGGGACCGGCTGAGCTCAGCTGGGCAGGGTGGTCATGCCCAAATACTGCCGGGCTCCCAACTGTTCCAATACTGCGGGCCGGCCGGGCGCGGACAGCCGCCCCCTGAGCTTCTGCAAGTGAGCGCAGGGCGGGGCGGGAGGAGCAGGGTTAGAACGGCAGCAGTGAACGCTGCCTGCACGTGCCAAGTGCAGATGCAACAGCAGGGGCCAGCGACCAGCCGCAGATGGTGATGCGCGCAGTCGGCAGAGGGGCAGGAGGTGTCCAGGCTGTGCGAGGGTCTTTGCCCACTCGCCGTCCCCACGAATTTCAGACGTCTCAAGCTCAACGCAAAACGGACTTTCCACAGCCTTTCCCCTCGGTTGATCGCTTACGTTCATCCTTACCTCTCTCTTGAGACTTGAAAAAGTCAGAATTAGCTTGGACTGCTAAGAACTCCGCCATCCCATGTGTGTGTCTGAGCTAACAGGCATCGGAGAGGCTAGCAGGTGTGAGAGGCAGAACGCTCCTTCTGAGTGACCGCTGCCTTCTTACTGGCAGACGTTGCTAAAGTCAGGCCGTGGCACACGTTGCAGCTTGAAATCACATCAGTAAGAGTGAAGCGTCTCACTTTGGCCCGCAGTCACTTTGACACAGGAAAGCAGCCCAGATGGAGCCTTGATCTCTGTGCTCTGCCGCCCCCTGCCCCTGCCCCACACTGCCTCAGTCTGCTCCCCCATACATAGCTAAAAGCAGCCTGTGAATACTGGAGTCAGAGCAAGGTTCCCCCTTCCTCAGATCTCTCCCGCGGCTCCCACCTCACTGTGAAAAGCAAGAAGGTGAGGCTGGAGCAGGCAGAGAGCAGGCCTACCCAGAGTCCCACAAGAACTGGTTCCCCAGCACCTGTCTGACCTCATCCCCTCCTGCCTCTAACTACTCCAGTAACACTGCCCTTCCTGTTCCTTTAGCTCGCCAGGCATGTTGCCACCCCAGGGCCTTTGCCTAGTCCATTCCCTCTGCTTGAAAGGGGACCACCACTCACTGTCCCAGACACGCACATGATTTGCCCTGCCCAACTCCTGCTTTTTTTTTTTTATCCCTTAAACCTATCACTGTCTGGTGTATCACATATTTGATCTGTTCCATCACTGTCTCCCCATAGACTGGCGGCTCTGGAGCCTGGGAATTTTGTCTCTCTTGTTAGGTCACTGGCCTCTAGAACAGTAATTGGTACATAGTAGGTGCTCATCCAAATACTTGTTGGTGTAGGGCAGAAGAAAGGGGAATCTCTAAACCTACATCAGTGTCTAGACCTGCTCCGTAAAACACACCACTCGGGCTGTTTGTCAATACAGCAGTTCTTTGAGTGTCTCCTGCAGATGTAAGCAAGACACTGTTGCTCATAAAGTTGGACCCTGATGGTCATTTTAAAAAATTGTTAGGGCTGGTGCTGTGGTGTGGTAGGCTAAGTCCCCAGCTAATCTTGTTCCTGCCATGTCGGAGCTCCTGGTAAGTGGTCAAGCATTAAAGAATTGAACACACAGCCGGTGACTCATCCATGAGCTTTCTTTGCCTCATCACCACTGCCTGCAGCCTGGCCCATTAACCCATCCTTTGGCTGTGGCCTCCAAACACAGCTCCATCTTGCAGCAACCACAACCAAATCCCTAACTAACACCAGGGTGGGTACTGCCACTCGGGACATCCACACCCTATATCCCAGTGTCTGAGGTTGAATCCTGGCTCCCCTTCTGATTCCAGCTTCCTGCTAATGAGTACCCTGGGAAGCAGCCTGTGATGGCTCAAGTGGCTGGTTCCTTGCCACGCATGTGAGATACCCAGACTCAGTACCCAGTGCCTGGCTTTGGCCTATCTCAGCCCCAGCTGTTGCAGGCATCTGGGGAGTGAACCAGTGGGTAGGAGATCTGTCTCTTTGCCTTTCAAAAAAAATTTTTTTTTGAATGCTCTAATACCTTGGCCATACTGTAAATGCAAAGGGGAAAATTCTAACTACGCTACAGATCATAGTTTAGTTGGTTTGACTTAGTTGTTTTTGACTTCACAGTGGTGGGAAAATGATTGGCGTTCAGTAGAAACCATGCTTTGAATTTTTTTTTTTTTTTTGACAGGCAGAGTGGACAGTGAGAGAGAGAGAGACAGAGAGAGAAAGGTCTTCCTTTGCCGTTGGTTCACCCTCCAATGGCCGCCGCTGCAGCCGGCGCACCGCGCTGATCCGATGGCAGGAGCCAGGATCCAGGTGCTTTTCCTGGTCTCCCATGGGGTGCAGGGCCCAAGCACCTGGGCCATCCTCCACTGCACTCCCTGGCCATAGCAGAGAGCTGGCCTGGAAGAGGGGCAACCGGGACAGAATCCGGCGCCCCGACCGGGACTAGAACCCGGTGTGCCGGCGCCGCAAGGTGGAGGATTAGCCTATTGAGCCACGGCGCCGGCCATGCTTTGAATTTTGAATGTTGATCTTTTCCAGGGCAGTGGTATGTGATACAGCACTCCTGTGTAGTACCAGCTGTCAGTCTGCAGGCACAGCAGTCAGTCCCTGGCAAGCCCTGATCACACCCTGCAGTGTGCTGTGTTGCTAAGCCGTGAAGGCCCGTGCATTAGGCGTATTAAATACATTTTCCATTTACGGTAATTTCCAGTGAAGTCGAGGAGGGCCTGTATAAGGCGAAACTCATCCTTGGAGTGGAGATGTGTAACCTTCACGTGGAAAGAGCACACGCTTTGAACGACACTACACTTGACCTTAAAGGACAAGGGCAGAGGTTGGGAGACCAGCACTGACGGGACAGCTCCACAGTCACCAGAAGTGGGGGTCCTGTCTGTCTGCTCTCTCAGGCTTAGGGTGTGGCTTCCTTCTACGATGGCTGCCAGTGCCCCATCCTCCATGCCCTACAATGGCTCTACACGGAGGCAGACACCCTTACAAGGCCTTCCCAGAAGCTTCACCCAGTGGCGACTGCTGCACCAGGGGTCACCCCGAGCTGCCAAGGAGGCTGGGAAATGTGGTCTTCTTGCTGGCTGTTTGACCACGCTGAAGGAATTTTGAGTCATGTTAGCAGGAAGAAAACACTTAGGGTGGAGTTTTAGTGAGGGATATCGCCCATCGGAAAGCATTGTGGCACACCAGGCTAAGCTGTGGGATACCTGCATATCATAGCCACGTGTCTGGGACAGACGCCTGCCTCCGCTTCCAATCCGGCTCCCTGCTAATGCAACTGGGAGGCAGCAGAGGATGGCTCAAGCACTTGAGTCCCTGCCACCCACATGGGAGACCCGGATGGGATTCCTGACTTCTGACTTCAGCCTGGCACACCTCCAAATGTTGAATGCACTGAGGAGTGGCCCAGTGAATGGGATCTCTGTGTATCTCTTTCTTTCTCTGTCACTCTGCCTTTCAGATAAATAAGTAAATAAATAAGTCTTTTTGTTTTTAAAGAGCTACTATTCAAAGGAACAGAGGGGAATAAGAACAAGATCAAATTAGGGAGAGATTTCTCCTGTTACTCTCCCTCTGCCCGTGGAGCATCCCTTCCAATTTAAGGCGCCGTCCCAGATGTCTCATAAAGCATTCTTTGGCCAGGACTTAGTCACATGGGCCACTTAGCTGCAAAGGAGTCTGGGAAACATAGATAAAGTTGGAATTGTGTTAGTCAGGGGTGGATAGAGAATGGGGTGGATATGGAATAGGCGGCTGGCAGCGTCTGCTGGTAAGGGGGTGGGTGACGAGTACTGCTGATGGATCCAGCGGAGCTGGCGAGAACACTGGGCACCCAGAGAGAAGCTGAAGGGACCACAGCTTGCAGGCTCCCTGGCTGTGTGCCCTGGGGTTCTGCAGCCCTCCTCTGCATCTGCCCTCTACCCTCAATCACCAGCCTCCATCACCCGTCTACCTGTTGTTTGAGAAATCTTGCTCTTCCCAGCTCTGCACCCCCCGCCCATCACCTCCTCCCCACTGGTAGCCTCTGTAGCCTTCACATGATTTCTTTAAACAAAAACAAGCAAAATCTGAATGTGTGTTCTTGTTTTTCTCTTTATTCCAGTATTAGTTTCCTGTGATCACAGTAACAAACCTGTTGGCTTAAAACAAGATAAACCCGCTGGTGCCGCGGCTCACTAGGCTAATCCACTAGGCGCTTGCGGCGCCGGCACACCGGGTTCTAGTCCTGGTCGGGGC